TGAATGGAATGCAATCCTTTCTTAACCCCCGCAGGCGATCAGTTTACGCCCTGAATTATGAGATTTTGATTACTCTTATCTAAGATACAGATGCTGTTAGATGCAATGAAATTAACCCACTCTTGCAAATGAGTCGGTAGTCTCCTGAGGCAGTGAATATTGCACACTGTCTAGATGTTGCACTGATTTTTCTCAGAAACACTTATGTTTCATCCAAAGCTGTGGCTGACTGTTATTCACAGGCATGTTCCCCATCTTGACACATGAAATGTGCATTTCCCTGCTCTTTCATGGCATCTTAAAGTGGGTTAGGCTGATGGCAGGCTGTATTTTAATTTTATACTTACCACATTTTAAATTTTGTATATTCCTGATATGGAAAATTGGAAACTTTGAATAAAAAATTGAGAAAAACTCTTTTTATGAAATACGCTGTTTTCAGAACTGTATGTTAATGCCTGTCAAGGCTGCCTCAGGTCTCAGCTCACAAAAGACCAACGCCAATCTCTTCTTATATACAAAAGTGTTTATTGCAGTTCATTGTTTGCTTCATATCCGAGGCGCGCAGCCCCACGTCTGTACGCTTAGACCGTTGAAGTCCCCTCTGAGTCAGTCCCTCCCCTGCACCAGTTTAAGAGCCTTGCGCTGCTCCACCTCTTTCTCTCTTTCCTTTTCCTCAGGGTCTTCCTGCCCGCTGGGGTTTCGCCCTCCTGGATTCCCCTGACGCGCTATCCCCCGACTGCTCTTCCCCCCTCCTGCGGGCTTTAGGACCTGGCTCTTCCTCCGGGCTCCCTGTACTTCCGCGCGCCTCTACATTTGAACTTGGCGCGCGCGCCCAACCTCTAACTTTCCTTTTGACAGCTACACTACTCCCTTCACTACTCCCCTCCCCTTCCGGGAGGGTGGCTTGCTCCGACCTCCCTCCCTTCTCTGCTGCCGGAGCTGCTTGCCCTGATACACTGGAACCTCCACCCCCTTCGCTGCACTCTGGCGGGGAGGCTGGTCCTGACGCCCAGCTGCCCCTTTGGGATCCCCCGCTGGCCCCCTGCTCCTGACACGTCCCCCCTGGGGCTCCCCTGGCCTTGACCACTGGTGCCCCCTTCTGGGAATCCTCTGATTCGCTGGAAAGACTCATGGAATCTCTTGAGTCATTGTCATCCTCTTCCTCGCTGTCCTGGGATTCATCCCCATCGCTCTCCATCTCCTTCCTACCCTGTGCCTCTGTCCCTGAACCCCTGACAATGCCAAATAGGGATGTTCATTTCTTGAGCACATGGTCCCTCACAGTGCTTTTTTCTGGGGGGACACAGGGGTATGTGTACCCCTAAACATTTTGTGTTGCCCCGAGCGACCAATGGATGGACCAACATGCCAGCTGTCTCCACAGTAGCAGTGTGAACTGGAGCTCCGTCATTCTCCCCACTGGTGCTCATGGAGGGGAGTCTGGGACGGCCGTGGGGGAGGCAACAGTGCTCCTCCTCCTGTAGCTAGAGACAGCCAGCGAGTGCTCCCCCCTCCTCCCTCAAGCCAACCCTGCTGCCACCCGGGGGCCTTCCCATCCTCTCAGCACTGCTGCCACCACCTCCAGTCCCTCACCCGGAGGTTGGGAGGGGGGAGGAAGGGAGCGAGGGGGAGGGGGAGCAGCCAAAATTAGAGTACCCCTAAACATTTTTAAAGAAAAAAACCTGGTTCCTCAACAAGCTAGGAATACACACTTTATTTCTGCTTCAACAGATATTGTCTCCCAGCTGGATCAGAGCAATATTGTATATATATTATTTTCCTGCATGGATTTAGAATTAGTATGGATTTCTTTGGTATCCTATAAATATGACGTAAATGTAAATCTGAAAACAAATTATTTGGGCATCTCTGTCTCATCTCCATAGAATTTTGTGGAAGAATAGTATAGGGATGTATCATCCTAGTCTAGTTCTCACTGTTAGCCATTAGTACCTTGTAAAATATAATGTTACAGGATGTTCCTGGCATGTTTAAAGCCCATAATAATGCTGACTTACATATTTTCCTGAACATCACCCCATCTCTGTCTCCATCAAAAATTGCATCACTCTGAACCAATAAAGTTGCAAATGACTGTTTGGCAGACTAGTTCAACCACATCGAAAAGGTTGTGTGACTTAGTTCTAAGAAATTATATTTTACATGTAATAAGAGGACTATCTCAGATCTGGCTATCTGGTCCGCCCCCTACCCTTCAGCACAGAAAGCCCGCTCTTTATAGCTGAAGTGCAAAAAATGGCAATTCAGGTTTTCCATGGATAGCTGTTTGCTCCAATTCAGTGGCAAAGAGCAAGTTTTTGCAGGGAAAGCTCCGGAGTGAAAAAAAGGAGAACTAGGAAAGGGAACTTTAAAGTGTAGAGGAAACTTAAGTGTAAATAAGCCCTTACTGACAGTGGCTCTTGGGGGTTTCCGACTGCTAGAATTTGTTACAGCAGGAGCTCCTAAAACAAGGTTAAACACTTTTCAGTTTAGCTAGGTACTTATACAGCTGCAATGCCTTGGCATCCACACCTTTGCAAGGGAGGAAGAAAACCAGAACAGCTTGGCCCCACCCATGTGACTCCCCTTTGTTCCACCCATGTGGCTTTATTGGCCCTGCCTACATGACCTCCTTGGCCACAGGCCACCCCACCAAGTCCAGGGGCTACCAGATGCCACCACAGGTAATGTCTGCAACATGTTGGTTGTGTGAAACCATGGGGGCTGCTTCCCCATGGTTCTCTTCTTTATTATCACAAAGCATTCCAACTAGAAATTTGTGTGGCAGAACACAACCCTCCATGGAGGTGAGTTGCAGTTGATCTATAAAGCACACTGTTGTAGGTCTGCCCATTGTGCAGAGCAGCTGCCCCACCAGCGCTATTTTGTTCATGTCTTCAGAATGCCATCACTTTGTTTGAGCCTGAGAGGAATGAAAGAAGTAAAGGGAGTGAAATCTGTTGGTGAAAGGAGTGTGCCTCCTTTCAAGCTGGGCAAAAATGCAGTATGCACCAGGGAAGAAGAATAGAAATTCAATTAGCTCTCAGCAATCAAAGAAGAAGAAGAAAAATCAATGCTGGTTGCCAATGCACCTTTTAAAAATACAATTTTTAGATTGATCAGAAAGCATAGAGAGTTCCCAAGGACAAAATTATGTATAAGGATTTAATAGCCTTACTACTGGCTGCAGTTTGTTTGGAATTAGCCAAGCATTGGTGGTACAAAACTCCATTTTTGTTGCAGTGGTAGACCAAGGTCTGGGGCACAGCACTGGCTGAAAAACTTACAAACTGAGTGTGTAGGGGAGCCAAACATAAAGATTTGTTTGCAAATATGTGTTATCCCCTATGTCTCTGGACAACATGGACTTTTGAAACCTTCAGAGACACAAAAATTATTTTGGTATTATTTATATCTGAAGTATTTGTGGTCTTAGCCTTATTCCAAATGAACAATGGACATTGTAATACGAGCTAGTGTGCATCTTTTTCCTACGTCAGTTTGAGCTTCCACTGGATATGTTTCACGATACAGCTGGTGTAGACTAAACTTTGAAACTCACTGGAACAGCAGTTTCTGAATATATTTCCATGCCAATGTTCTTCCACAATGGTATAACTTATTGTACATTTCAGCATAACAGCCCAAATTCTCATATTTTCAGTTTGTTATTCGCAAGCTTGGACAGCAAAAGAAATGAAAATTGCACAGTGAGCCTCACTGGTTGTGCACTTAGCTGGTATTTCAAAACAGTGGTGATAGCTGTCAGTGTAGGAACCTGGAAGATAAGCAGATGTCATCCAGAAAAACATTTGATCATATTTATCTGTTTTTCAAATGGGAATAATACTTGGAGAGATCCGATATAGATTAGTTAGAACTTGGAAACCAGGAAGTCTTAAGTGCTATTATTATTGCTGTCATCATCGAAAGGCACTTAGACCAAACCTTGAGACATTCATCTGTCACTGTTGTTCTCCTGATTCACATTTCCCTCAAACAAAATCAGCCATTCAGGAATCCTGCAAACAGCAGGCTAACTGAAGGGTGTATTGGAAGCTGGGATGAGACTAGCACTGCAATCCTGTCCTCGAATTATGCCAGCTGGATGAAGATAGGCTTGCTTACTACTAAATCTATTGTACTGGTGGAACAAAAGGTTACAGCTGTATAATAGATTCTGTTTTGTTCCACCAATAATAGGTTATGCCAGAGTAGAGATACTATTGTGCTGGCAATAGTCCTTTTTTAGCTTACCTGAAGATGCTGGGAATTGGAACCTGAGACTTTTTGTATGCAAAGCATGTAGCTGAACTCTGTGCAGAAGCAATTTGTAAAGTCTGAAAAATACCGTCATGCTGCTAGACTCACTATTGTTATATTTGAGAGCTCCCAGCTAGGAATATAATTCCTTATTAGCAACATTATTAGCTTGGCGTTGTAGCCAACTAAATTCTGCTCAGACTCTCTGAAACTAAGGGCCCCAAGTTAGTCATTTCTACCAACTTAAATGGGCCTACTAGCATTGAATGCAGCCCACAAACTCCAGCAATGTTGAGCTATTCAGATATTGCATCTGGGTGGCTCTGTTGCTGGTAAAAGAAGTATTTTTATACTGCCCTTCAGATATAGTCCCAGGAAGGTCTTTGATTTGAGCGTACCTCTTGGATGCAGCATCCTACAGCCAGGATGCTCTGCTGCTGCTGAAAAATGAGCTGACCGATTGGTAAATGTCTCATTTTGACAAAATCCAGGGTGTGGCTCCCAGCCAGTCCCATCCTGATGAAAGTTATGTTGAAGGAATCATTAGAATTCAAACCATCCCTCATCAGACTGGTTTTCGTGGCTAATGATGGCTGTTCTGAAGGTTATGTCACAAGGAAGGCGGAGAAACCTGTCTCCTATATGTACGTATGCAATCAGAGCTTCATCTGTGTGGCTTCTTGTGAGCAATGAGCTAAGAGAATCAAAACACGGTTACCACCATTATCCTTACCATGAAGGTAGCAGGGGTCTTTGTGGCCCTGGCACTTTTCAGCCACTTTGAAGGTAAGCTACATTTGTTATAACCAATGTCTGTGGTGGGGGATGTCATCTTTGCCTAAATAGTGGGCACCATGTAGTCCTTTAAAAATAATTATAACTAAGTCATTACCTAACAAGAGAACTAGCTTATTTGAAGAGAAAACTGAGGAAAGCCAAGGATTAGGAAATACCAAGCACTTTTATTTCTTTCTTGATAATATCAATGTTTAAAAGATGATTTATGGAACTGGTGGTGGGCATACCTTTGTTGTTGTCAAATACCTTGAAGGTTTGCAAGTGAAGGTAGAGAGCTTCCTTGTTTTGGTGAAAGCAATATCTATTTTCATCTATTTTGCCTTTTGGGTGGACAAGTCAGATGGACTGTCTGATGAAATGACATTCTTCTGTCAAAACGTGGTTGAGTGTTTGCATCCATGCATAGGGCAGACTTGGAATTCTTCAACTCGTTCAACAGAGTTGACATTAAACAGGAATGAAGATAAAGATAGGGTGATTCTGCAGAGAGAGAGAGAGCGCAATATGGACCAACCAATCAGGGCTCAGTATGGCTGTTATTGTATGTATATATAAATAGAATTCTGTATTCATTGTCATAAAATCTAGAGAATCCTGCCATCTGCAAGTAGTTGAACTTAATGTGTCTGGAATTATCCCCCTTGCTCTTTGAGTTGTTTATCCCAATGTCTATCAGTGCCTCTTGGGCAAGTTATTATCAGCTGGTTGATTTGCCAGAGGAATTGCAGAAGCAGTGGCTATAAGTGGCAGGATGTAACAATGGACAGCACTGGACAAGTTGGGTAGACTGATAGTGATCCAGTCTGAAGGACCTGTCACCTCCAGTGACATGCAGATTGGACATTCTGTGCTAGTTTTCAGTACAGCTTGATTTGCTTTCAGTTCTCATTGGCATCAGGGGGTATCTGCTGTTTGTGGCCTGTGGAGTCGTCTTATCTAGCAGACTTGCGGTGTGGAGGGGAGGCAGCAAATTTTTCTGTGCAACCATTGCATCTTAACCGCTACAGCTTCCCAGGTGGTCCCAAAATTGTGGTAAGTGGCAAGATGTGCCCGTCACAAAGTGACTTCAGAAGGAAGATGACTTGACATTATTAACCGGACCAGCATAGATCACCTCTGCTCTGTGGACCAAAGTGGAAACAAGCAGTGGCACCAAAGATTGCTTACTGAGGTGGGGTGTTAAAGAGAGATGGTAATCTTCAGATCTGTGGTTTAGTTAGGGCAGGGATGAGGAACCTCTAGCCCTCCATATGTGGGTAGACTTCAGCTCCCACCATTCCTTATTATTAGCCACACTGGCAGAAGGCCACAAGTTCTCCACCCCTGAGTTAGGGTATTTCATATAGAGAGCTCCCTGCTTTATATTGACTTGTTGTTGTTGGCATCTATCTGTCTTGAGAGACAATGGAGTGCACCTTTGGGGCTGAAGTCAAACTGCTTCATTAGCAGCACCGAAGTGAACGTACAGGGTACAAACCTGGCAGTGTGTATAGAGGTCCTGGGCTGCCCAGATGACAAGTCCCCCCTCTTGGCCTCACTGATGTGGTTCAAAGGAAAGCAGAGTAATATGTTTGGCACCAGCTGCAGGAATTGCCAGAAGGAGGCATACAAGGCCCCATCAAACTGTCTTATGGACTCTACTTTGGATTTGTGTAGGGTTTATGCCTTAGCCTTTTCTTCTTCTGAAGATATCCCACAAGGCAGCAGAAGTTTAGGATCAGTGTTTTCTTCTCCTAGATGGGCTACTTTCCCAGGTTGACAAACCCCACCTGCCCCTCACTTCCCTCTACATCATATGCAGAAACTGCCTTCTTGACCATTGGACCCACTATTGGTCTTGTCCACTCAATCCACCAGAGTCTGTCTTTTCATGCAGGGGAAGTCCCTAATTCACTGAGGGTTTGAGACTCAGCAGCCACCCTCACCTGGTTTAGCCAGCCAGTCAAAGCCGTTCCTGGGGTGTGGCTTCTGTCGCATGCTGACAGCTTCTAGGAACCACAGTGGAGAGCTAAGTGCAGGGGGGGGGGACCAAAGGTGGACTAACTATCCCAGAAGGAGCATGATATGTCCCCCACCAGATGCAATACCCCTCCCCAAACACCTCATATATTGACTTGTTGTTGTTGTTTAGTCGTTTAGTCGTGTCCGACTCTTCGTGACCCCATGGACCAGAGCACGCCAGGCACTTCTGTCTTCCACTGTCTCCCGCAGTTTGGTCAGACTCATGTTTGTAGCTTCAAGAACACTGTCCAACCATCTCATCCTCTGTCGTCCCCTTCTCCTTCTCAATTAAAGGCTGCTTTAATTGAAATACTAGAATAAACAGTATAAGTTCCATTAAAAAGAAATGTAAAAGGGGAGAAAGGAAGGGGGAAAAAAATGAGGCTGTATGACATGCTGTTCTAAATATCTAAATCAGTTTAGTTAAGGACAGGTATTCTAGGCTTGGATTTGGGTTGTAAGATGTTCCTGACAAATGTTACATTAAGAACTTCCTATAGCTCAGTCACAACATTTTGGGAACCGCACAGAATTATCTGGGTGGTATGAATCAAGGAATTTGCAGTTAGTTGTATTATATAATTAGTTTAGTGGGCAACCAGCCCAATGCACAATCTCATTAAATAAAAGTGCTTACATTTAACACAGCTGCCATTAAAAGTCATGCTCAGGACTGTGTTTCCATAGGTGCACCATCATCATCACTTGCAGAGAGAGGAGAGACCTATATGATCATGATGTGCACAAAGTGTCACTACAAGCGACAACAAGTAACTCAGGCAAGCATGGGCCTCAAAATTATAGAAAGCAGGACTGCAAGCCCAAACCATATTTATTGAGAAATCAGTCCCTCTGATTTCAGTAAGGTTTATTTCTAATGCTTAGGATTACAGGGTAATTCAGTGTAAATAATTTTCACATCAACCCAGCAAGTGTGTTCTGTGCAAGCAGCTGGTCTGAGTTTGCATTATGAGGCTCATCTCACCCCCTTTGAAGTCCACTGGTACATCTGGTGTGGATGGCTATGCAGATCTTTATCAAGGAGCACTAACCATATGCAAGAAAGGAGAAAGCTATAGGGATCAGGGAAATTCAGATTAACTGAAACCATCTCCTTTTTAAAAAGTAATTTTTATTAAAGATTTTCTTGGTTTACAAAAGTACATGCATTTGAAATGCTGAAACAAAGAAAATCATCAAACCATTAATTCTAGCATACAGCATCTCCATGATTGGTATTATTAATTGTATTATAATTTGGCATTGTTATAATGAGGCTATTATTGGATTGCTGTAACTGAAAACTAATAAAAATTACTATCAAAAGTATGTGCATTGTCTCTTTTTCAGGTTGTAAAGTCTTTTCTATAGATCAGTTACATTTGTTACGAGATGTTAGTGTTGAGTACAGTATAAGGTAGGGGAAAGAGAGTGAGGGAGAGGAGGGGTGCGGTGGTGAAATTTTTATATTTTTTTATAGTGTACGTGTGGGGTTTTGTGTCAGCGTCAACTGGATACAGTAGGTTCTCTTTCTATTCGCTTGTTACATTTCCTTTGTATTGAGAGGGATTGGGGGGCAGGGTGTAGTTGGTTGTCTGTGGTTGTCTGTAGTGGGGTTTGTTTGCATTTGTGAGTGGGGAGGGTTTGTTGGGTCACCTAACTGTAACCACCTCTTTGATTGAGTCGTTGTCTTTTTAAAATTTGAATTTGTACAATGACAATGCAAGAATTTACAATCTGTGTATTTTTGTTGCAGGTGTTGCCAGTCAAATGAGATACCAGGTTAGTTCAGACTTTTCTCTTATTTTTCCTAAATCAGGCCATGTACACACCATACATTTAAAACACCCCACCAAGAATTCTGGGAACTGTAGTTTGTTAAAGGTACTGAGAATTCACTTGCATTTGGTAATGAATTTTCACGTGTTATTTGTGAAATGAATAACATTGCTGGAGTTTAACTGTTGCAGTTCAGCCAACATCTCTGTTGCCCAATACTTCCAAAAGGCTTGCAACCTAGGACAGGATTCCACCCCCCAAAAAGAAGGCAAAAATGCACATGGAAACTACATAATAGCCTGCTTGATACTGCCTCCTGGCAACCCATTTTCCCTTTGCCCATTCATTGTGATCATGCTTTCTAATCAACAGAGATCCTTCTGGGATTCTCTGACTAGATTGCATTAAGAAATCCTGGTGGATTCTTAGTGCTACTCTCCAGTCTCTGCCCAATATTAGTAGGTTGGAGGGGGAATCAATGCTCTATGGGGCCTCCCTGCTCTAACCAACATGGAATAGTGGTAGAAATATCCAACATGGTGACACATGTTTTTTAAGGACCATATGGCTTAGTAGAAGGGCATATGCTTTATGTGAAGAAGGTCCCAGGTTCCTTCCTGGCATATTCAGGTATGGTTGAGAAAGACTGAAACCCTGGAGAGCTGTTGCCAGTCATTGTAAACAACGAACAGCAGTAGACAGTGTGGTGGGGCTATGCCATCCACTTGAACTCTATTCAGCTGAGTTGCAGCAGCAAACTGGGATGGAGAAGGGGAGAATGTGGAGGTGGTGAAGTCAGTGTGGTGTAAATGCACTGACATAGCACCAGATTGCTTCTGTTGGTGGGTTTGCAGTGCACCAGTCCCACCACTGCCCTACCCCACTCCACCACAACCTTGACTGCTGGTGAAGAATAACCAATGTGATGCCCTCCATGTGCTGTTGGACTACATCTCCAATGATCTTTGACCATTGGCCATGTGGGCTTGGGATGAAGGGAGTTGGAGTCTAACCACATTTGGAGGGTATCACTTTGGCTAGTCCTGGTGTAAATGGTACTGAGCTAGGTGGACCAATGGTCCAGCTTGGTCTAAGGTAGCTTCCAGTGTTACACTAGCATTAAACACAAGGCTTACAGAACCCCTGTCTCAGCTACCTATGACCATCATATTGAAATGCCCAGGTAACAGAGGGATCCATCTATCTGCAAGTTCACCTTTACCCATTTTAATGGGGTTGCAGAGCTGAACCTCTTGGTGGATTGTGTCCAGAGTTTGACTATCATCTGAGCTCCATTTTTGTTACCACTCCTCTCCAGAAATGTCTAAAATTTGAGTGGGATTTTCCATTCAAATGAAATAAACATTGAAACTCAGTGACAGAGCAAACGAAAGTGAAAACTAGAAGAGGGTTACATTCCCCACCTTCATATTACTCACTTCCATTCCATATAAATATACAGAACTGAAGCAATTTAAGGACTGCAGAAGCAGAAGAAGGCAAGAAAGCCTCATTAAGCGTTCCTTTATCCCTTTAGGAGGGCATGTGCCGTGAATTCCAACCATTTTTAGAGGATGGGAATTTATACTGCAACAGAGATATAGACCCTGTTTTCGGTCCTGATGGCAGGAGACATATGAACAAGTGTGTCATGTGCCGTGAAGTCTTGTGAGTATTAGAAACAACCACTTGTTTCAGAGATGCTAATGCCATGATGAGAGCTGTTATACTGGTTGTTTCCCCTATGTCTTCTCCTCCTACAGACAGTTTCCTAGTTCCATCTCTATGGCAGAAACCCTTTGGCTGAGGCAAACACTGCAATTTATAACCCCCAGAACACAGAGGTCAGTTTCATGCCCTGCTGTTCCCCCAGACCATCAAGATCAACACCAAAAGTGGATCCAAAAATCCAGGCCATCAAGGCGGCAGGGAAGATCTAGCACACATTAGAAATTTCACAGGGCTTTAGTTTCAATGCATGCAAGATTCCTTCCATGAAGGAGAAGCTATTTGGATTTAGTGAGCAGGAGTCTGCATCAATATTAAGATGAGACCTGTGCTCATTCCCTAAGATTCATTTCAGATTCGGAAGGTGCTCAGGGATGAGTGGTTTAATCAGTCTCCATGAATATGATTCTCAGCAATACAAATGGGCTGTGAAATATCCTTTTCATGTCAGTGGTTTGTGTAAATTGCCATCTAGGCAATATTTCATAGAAGGTTGGCAACACTTCAGTACCATCAAGTTGTATGCAATGCTGCCCATGTACACGTAGAACAGACTTCCTCCTTGTGCAATGGGACACCCTTGCCTCCTGTGCACCCACAAAATCTGCTTAGGAGGACTGAGAAATACTGGGGGGCAAAATTTGGAAGTGTATAGGGGAACTGCAGAGAGAAGGAGAGGAAAATGAAGTCCTGATACGTGAGAGGAAATCCACTGGTGCAACAATGGTTTCTATCCATTGAAATGATTAGGACAAATTAGTTACATGAGTAAGACTGATTGATTTTAATGGGATTTCTATGAATTGGGGCTATAAATGATTGAAGAGAGCCAGTGTGGTGTAGTGGTTAAGAGCAGTAGTCTCGTAATCTGGGGAACCGGGTTCGCGTCTCCGCTCCTCCACATGCAGCTGCTGGGTGACCTTGGGCCAGTCACACTTCTTTGAAGTCTCTCAGCCCCACTCACCTCACAGAGTGTTTGTTGTGGGGGAGGAAGGGAAAAGGAGATTGTTAGCCGCTTTGAGACTCCCGAAGGGGAGTGAAAGGCGGGATATCAAATCCAAACTCTTCTTCTTCTGAAGGCACTTGTTATCAGATCCTATTTAAATACATCATGGAAGACTCAATAGAGAAAAGTCCTTAGATTAGAGATTCTAAGCAAATAACATCCCTTACCTACTTTACGTCTTGATTTCTTCTGTTCTCTTTTATGTGAGCAGTTCTCTTGCATTCCAAGAACCTCTTGTGTGAAAAAAGATTGCGGGGTTTGTATTGAACTTTATATCACCCTACACTAAAGTGTTGCACCATTTACATTTTCCATTCATAATTTCTTCTCTGTTTTTGTTTATTATCTTCATTAATAGGAGAAGGAGAGCAATTGCTGGTTGGCCCAAAAACCCTTCTTCAGCAAAGGTGAGGAGAAATTTTAAAGCTATCCAAGGGCATCTAATAGCGTTGATTCCATTAGTGTTACAGGGAGGAAAGCAATTTTAGATTATTTCAGGAATTTGAAGGAGATGGAGAATAACTGAAAATTACTCCTCTTCTTATGTGGCTTTACCATCACCTGAGCAACGTTGTTGGCTACAACCTGCAATTCTTGCTAACAGTGCTATCCTGTGCAAACTTCCCTGGGAGTAAGTCCCATTGAGGCTAATGGATCGTATTTTCATGCTCAGGCACAGTGAGCCTGCCACCTGGTGCCTCACACCATGTATAAAGATACACAGACCTACATTCATGGATCCAAAAAAGAAAAAAAGGGGAGAAAGGCCACAACTTTATTGATTACAGATTTAGGTGATTTGTCTTAGGCTCTGGGTGTTTTCCCACTTGGTCAGCCTGTCTGCTTCCTGCTTCCTAGGGCATCCATTCCAGGAAAATATTGCCCTATGGTTTCCATCAAATAGAAGCAGCCCACGGAAACTGCCTTGGGGAGTGCTATGGTCCTCAGCCCCCCATCTGGATTTATGGACAGAAACACCTCTCCTAGGATTCCTTTAATGGGATACCCCAATTCCTGGAAGGGGAAGTTAAAGCAATATAGTCCCCTTATGAATAATTACTATGAATCTGACCTAATGCTTTAACCACTAAAGTTGTGATGATTGCTGTGAGGCAAAAACCACAAGACCAGCCAATTTGTCTGGATATAAAATTTCTTCCTGCCCCAAATACAGCAGCCAAAAGATTACATAGCAAAGTCATTAACAAGGGTGGGAGACCAAAAGGGTGACTGTAGTGCCAAGGGAGAAGGCGGGCCCCTTTTTATCCTGAAGAAGAGGACCCAAGTGGAAACCAGCACAAAGTTTCCACCTGACTCTGCTCCCCCCAGCTGCCACCTCCTAAAGCCCATCCACGATTGGCCAGTTATTGTGGGTGGGTAAATTTGGATTTCCCCATGGCAGAAAGGTGAGAGGAATTTCTGAGTAGACATGTGTGGGATTGCATGTGAGGCATGAAAAATGGTATACCTGAAATATGATGATATTATGTGTTTAAGCCCTGCATTTGACCTGCTTAGCAATTGGTTTTTGCTTTTGTGCTGGAAGATATCAGACTTCATTGTCACTTGGATTGTAGCCCAATCTAATTTTACTAAATGAGATTAGAGTTACAATGCTGATACTATATGTAATTATAGTGAAAACACTTCTGGAACAGAAATTGCACAAGTGGAGACCTGCTACATTTCATGGAAATTCGGGATGGTGTCCTCCTCCACAGCACATTGCTGGTTCACTAGAAATATGGTTCAGGAAGAGTTGATTTTCATCATACACCCTCTGGCTGCTTCTTATATGTACAAATATGCTTCATTACGCCAACAGTAGCAGTTTCCATTCTCCTTCTGTTTTATCCTCACAACAACCTGGTAGGTTGGCCTAAGAGATTGTGATGGGTCAAAGTCATCCAGTAAAGTTAACCACTCACCAGGAATTTCAACCCAAGCATCCCTGGTCCTAGCTTAACCAAAGGGTGAGGAACCTAGGGATAGGGCGCTCCAGAAGTTGCTGGACTACAACTCCCACGATCATTTAGCCATGATGGCTAGGACTGGTGGGAAATTGAGTCCAACAATATCTAGAAGGCCACAGGCTCACCAGTCCTGCTCTAACTGTTGTACCACTCTGATTCTCCAAACCTGTTCCTGCTTGTGAGTATTAATAGCAATCCTAGTTTCCGGTTTGGCTCCAGACTTGGAGGGCAGATAAACAGATAGAACAGTGCCCCCCCAAAAAAAACCCTACGTTATCAGGTATGGCTTAAAAGAAGTAAGGCTCATTACTTATCTAAAGAAGGTCTTCATGAGACCATTGAGTCCAGGGTCTAAAATTATCCAAGTTCACCCACTGCAGGGTCTCATTGTAAACCACAATTGAACCGTTACTAGTACTATGCGTTTTGGTTTCTGACAGGCCCAAGTTAGCGTGCCATGATGAGTTCGTATCTTTTCCTTCTTGTGTTTCCGAGACTGAAATAGTAAACTCTCCAGGGCGGGTCCTGGGCTGCCTTCCCTGTTTGGAACATTCCAAACACGTTGTTGGCACTCAATTACTGCTTAATGGGGTAATAACACCCAAGAGCGCTCCAGCTAGGGCAAGGTGTGGGACCAGGCATAAGCAAGCCTTAATTGCACCTTGTTTATCTTGGCCAATCCATTTCTTGCACACCTCTTTCTCTAGGCAGCAAATCTTGTCATTGACAGGCTTTTCTTTCCCAAATGATATCTTTGTTTCTTGGTCAAATTGCTTGGCTTAATTCGTCATCATAATGCTTGCTTCTGTGTGACTTATACTTGTGCAGGTTAGACTTCATAAGGTTGTGTCTAGCATTCCGGCTGAGAGGGAAGTGTTCAGAGGGAGAAGCTGCTAAGAGAAAGGGTGGGAGAAGGGTAAAGCAGAAACTCTGCTACTTTTCCCATTAAGTTTGTTCCCACCCAGGAGCAGAGGAAAAGACGAACACAATCTGGCAACATGGCAAGCAGTTCTGTTGTTAGTGTGTCCACTATGTTTTTGAAATCTAATGTGTCTAACATATTTTTAAAATCTTGCTTAATATAAAGTCCAAAATAGACATTAGACATCTGCAAAGAAAACAGAATCTCAAGTGCTAGACATAATGTATTGGCTATTAAGCACATTTGCTGTATTGATTTATTTACATGGGAAAGAATTCTGGGTGGACAATTCCCCACTGAAACCAATGCTACTATTTGATTGGTTTTGTGGCACCTTTAAAGACTAACACATTTATGACAAGCACAAGCTTTCATGGACTGTAGTCCACTTCATTAGATGCGTCTTATAAAAGAAACATCTGATAAAGTAGAATGTAGTCTGCAAAAGCTCATAACATCATAAATTTGGTAGTCTTTAAGGTGCTACAAAACTGCCGTATTTGCTGCAACAGATGAACACAGCTACACCTCTGGAAACTTTCAGGTTTGTGCTCATTCTCTTAATTACTTCCAATGAAGATTACTTCCAGGGTGCTTCATTCCTCATAAAAGACTAATTCCATTGGGTTTGGTTCAATCAAAAGTGATTGAACATTCTGCTGATCACATGATTTTCTAAGGGACCTTAAACGCTGGCTATGGGCATCCTGTTGATGACTCATGATGAACTTTATCTCCTTCAAGGAGGAAAATTGATCTTCTTCTTCCTCCACTGTAGGATGACGACTGCAGTGAATATTGGCCTTATTTCAGAGATGGGTCATTTTCCTGCACCAGAGAGAATAATCCAGTTCGTGATGCTTCTGGCAAGCAGCATAGCAATAAATGCATAATGTGTCTACAGAAGTTGTGAGTATGCCGTAATATATTTGCTTTTTAATTAAATTGGGCCTCTCTGTCTGCAACAAAGTAAAACTTTATCCATTGTTTCTTGCAGCAAAAATGGAGGTACGATGAATTCTGTTGGAAAGGACCAACCACAAAATGGAAAAAATGAGGTGAAATAAAGCTTTATCCAAATTTGTATCTGACCATTTACATTTTGCATTTCTTGCCCATGGTGACCAAGAATGAGAAGAATCAGTTTCACTCCAAAAAGGCTCCAACTCTGTTCATCCAAGGTTTTGTTGCATCCTGCACATACATGCACAGTTTAGCCTCTTGTTCCATATGCAAAAAGTCATGTGTGTGGTAGAGTACCTCATTATGCACAGAATTAGGAAGTCCTACCTCATGTTCCACAGGTACCTCTTTATGCAGCACATTGTTAATTATGGAACTCACTGCCACAGGAGGCAACAATGGCCACCAACTTGGATGGCTTTAAAAGAGGATTAGACAAATACAAGGAGGAAAAGGCTTTCAATGGCAACTAGCCATGATGGCTATGCTGTGATTCCATGATCAGAGGCAGTAATGCTCTTCAACACTTGTTGCTGGAAATCACTGGATGGGAGAGTGTTCTTGTGCTTGGGTCCTACTTGTGGGTTTCCCACAGGCAACTGATTAGCCACTGTGAGAACAGGATGCTGGGGTAGAGGGGCCATTGGCCTAATCCAGCATGTTATTGTTATGTTCTTATATTGACCTGCATTATCTCTGCCTAAATCATAGAAACTACATTTGCCTGTAATGTCATTTTTAAAAATTGTGTTCAGCATTTCAGTCATTGGATTAGCTTTTAATGATTTCATTAAAAGCTAGAAAGTGTTAGACTTCAAGGTTATATTTCAGGCCTAGCCAAATTCATATCTGCATTAAATTCATCCCTGGATAACAGTTTTAGTCCATAAAGAGGTTACCTTAATATGCATAATGTTTAAAATACTATATCACATTTGAGGGCAATGTCCATTTTCGAGATTATTTTTATCTGTAAGCTGTCTTGAGTCAGGTATAAATGATGATGATCATGATGAAGTTTTATATTGACTATAATGGAATGTGAATTATGCCCATCCTGTAATTAAGCATGTTGGGGAAAGTGAGAGAGAGAACTTTTCAGATCAGCTGCGTCCAGATCAATCTACGTTTCAATGACTCATAAAGAATAAATAGTTCAAGAAGACTTTAATGAAAGGCCCTTTACCCATCTAATTGAACAAGCAAATAAAATAGTAAATAACCTTCCAGAGAAAAGTTGGTTATTCCAGAAACTTTTTTTATATAAAAAAACCCCTTATACTTACCTTCCTTTTAACCTGAAAGGTTTGTGACTCATGCCTTGTTTTGAATTGGCAAAGTCAGCTCGCCCTCATAGATTTCTTTATTTATGTTTCATTCACTCACTTTACCCTTGTTCCATCATGTGGACCCAGCTAGGAGAGGATACGGGTTGTCGGTGCACATGTTCACATCATTCTTTTGCCTTCATTAAAGCTAAAAAGAATCTATATGAAAAGTTTCTCACTGGTGAGATGTCTAAGCAACACCAGTTCATGAAACAGTATTGAGGAATCAAGGGCAGGCCCTTTCTTGCCAGCATTCCAGCCACCTTTGTTGGCTTTATTCACTATTGATTGAAAGCATGTTGCAACTTTTTAGAAGTTTTCATCATGCTCCACAGCAACTGATGCAGGGACCTGAGTATTCTCTGAATTGTTCTGGTGCAGTTGTCTGCCTGTGATCTGGTAAGGTGTTGACAGTATTTTAAGCACATTGTTGGGAAAAGTGGGGGAGATCACTTTTATCATCCAGATCAATTGCATGCTTTGAATATCCCTGCTAAAGAATGATAATTAGGCCGGCCGTGGAGGGCAACACCCAACAAATGTTTCTAAGACAGAGGCACTCAGGATTCCTCTGACTAACACCTCAGTCAGACACAAGGTAGTAGGTGACATGGTTCACCCTGTCACACCCTGACACCATCTGTGTCTGTGTGATGCATTTGCTGTGAATGAAGATTCTCCAGAGTTTCCAAAAATCAGACCAGCAAAGCAAACCATGTTCTTTCTCTGCAGAGGAATGATGGATGTGATGAATATCGATCAGAGATGGGACCCAACGGAGAACTCACTTGCACCCGTGAGAATGCTCCAGTGCGGGATGCAACTGGCTATACATACAACAACAAGTGTATCATGTGTTCAGAGAAATTGTGAGTGCTCTAACTCAAAGATGAAATGATGTGCTGTCATGAATAGCAAACTTTGGCATGTACGGTACTCTCCAAAGTTTATGGGCAGTCATTGAACACAAGAAGAAATGCCTTGTGTTTAATGTATATAGTTTATGTAATGTTAGCTACTTAGGCTAGGGTTTTATCCCCAGGGCCACATTCCCCAGCGGGCAGCCTTCTGGGGGCCACATGCCAGCGGTGGGTGCAACAGCTGGTGTGACTTTTTCCATAGGTTCCTGACCAGCCATGCAAAGTCAGAGGTTTCCACATATACTGTTTTCCATCCAGGCAAGCAAGGGGCATTAGAACAGTCAGCTAAAACCTCTTGAGGAAGATGCACATTTGAAGAAAGTGTATTAGTCCTTCCTCCCTTCACTAAATTTGCATTATAAAAAAATTGGCCAGCCAGCATGGCCAGAATCATCAGGGATGATGAGCACCGTAGTCCAGTAGCATAGGGAGGGTGACAGGTCCCCCCATCCAGGATCTAGGGAGTACCAGGTTGGTATAGGTTGCAGTATACCAGGTGTGGTAAACTTTTGTCCTTCCAGGTGTTGCTGAAGTACAACTCCCATCATTCCTGACCATGCTGGCTGGGGCTGAGGGGAGTTGTAGTTCAACAACATCTGGAAGGCCAAAGGTTCCACATTTCTGATATATTAAAACAAAGCAGCTTCTCACTTCTTTGTACATGCCTGTGGGTTTGTTCTCTCCTTATGTTTTCATTTTTGTTTTACTGTCCTTGGTTTTCTTTTCTTCTTTCAATCTTCTCCTGAATGCTCAAGTTCTAACAAGTGTTTGAACATAAGAACTCCAGTTTCCAATTCCTGTTACTCACGTTGTTCTACATTCCATGCCTCTTAGCAAAAAAGAAGTTCGAGAAGGCAGGATCGTTGGAGGAGGAAAAGGAGGAGGCGGTGGTGGTGCTGTGGATACTTATGGGAACAGAATCGTTCAAGGGAATTTCAACCCAGGGAACAGCAACGAGGTGAGGAAAAATGTCGGGCAAGCTGCTACCTGAGCACTACTTTCCTACTCAAGAAAAGGGATACTTTATCCTGTCTCTGATACTGTGCTGTAATGCTCATCTCCTAGAAAGCATGATTGGGAAGAGAGATCACATTCTCATAGCAAATCAGAAACATGTAAAACATCCAGGCTGAGCTCGGTCCAAAGGCTTTAACAGCCTGGGATAACATAGTAGAAAGCAACATGCAAATAATTTCTGAACACAAGCCACAACTTCTGTGTGGTGTGGGAGTTGCCTGATAGGTATTGGTAGATCAGAGCCAGGAAGACAGCAAATCCATGATTGCAACATGTCGTGGAGATGGCTCAATCACAGAGAGGTGTCCGATGTTAAAGAAGAATGCCATGAGATGGAGAATGAAGGAAGCTCCAAATTTATAGGGTACGATCTAGGCTGCAGTGCCAGCCCTGAGCATCCAGCCGGGCCTCAGAGTTAGCTCCTTGGTTTGAACAACTTGTTAGTGGCCTGAGGAGGATACTTCCCCTGAGTGCTGCCTTAGATCTAGCCCAGCTTTCAGTAATATTACTTACATAAATAGCCAAACAAGTCAAAATTATCCTTCCTTTAAGGAAAACCATTATTAGAATAATAAAAATGTCAGTGAAGGGAATAACTATAAACCAAACGAGTAAAAACATCCTACAGAGATAACCACACAAGCAATGAAAACTTGCTTTCACACATGACATGTTGGCATTTAGGTTCTAATGTGCCAAATATGTGGGCCCTAGTCTAGCTTTAGTCACACAAAACTAGTGGCCTTTGTTGGGGATGTACAGCAAGAGATGCTTCTGGACAATTCGGTAATGTATTAGCTGGGCTTCCCATTGTTGGGTCAGGCTGGTGGTCTTCACATTGTTTGTTTACTAATTAATTATACTTCATTTAGAAGAGTTTATATAGTTTCCATGAGACTCCCAATGACTCCCAGTTTCCTAACCAGGCTCTGATCTGGCCCACATCCAATCATGAATGAGTCATTCCCATCCATGGGGTGGGGAGCTTACGCATGTTAAACTTATCCCTAATCATGCCCATCAACAATTCATATAGACCTACCAGAGATATGATTAGGGTGGCCATGCATCTTGCTTTAAAGAGGACAACTCTTTATTTGAAATGCTAACAGAGGATAGCCCTCTATTTGAAGGAGTCCTCTGTTTGAAGGGCTGTCTGGTCCAAGCCTGGTTTAAGGATGAAGAACCCTAAGGGAAAGCAGCAGAGACCTTGAAGTTACCACCAACAGTTAGCAGCAGCTCACCTGTTCACAGCCTTCATCACTATGGTGAGATGTATTTTCATTTGAATTTGCATTAGCCGGCCTGTCTAAATTTGCATTCATACATATAAATCAGTACATGCTAATTTTATGCATATTTTTGTCATATTTTGGGGCAATGCATAAGTGGCCACCCCAGAGAGGTGTCTTAAATTGTAAATAAACAGTTCGCATATTTTTAATATAAGGCTTTCATGATTTGACTAACATCAGCAACTGTTTAAGTATGACAAGAAAAGATGCAATCTCTCCTCATGGTTTTCAATGGGAAGATCATTCATTAACCTAGCTCTGCAGTAAAAAAACAAAAGAACAAAACAAAACTCCTTTGTCTCAGGATAAAACTTTCTATTTTGCAGCCAACAGGTTTTTTCGACATGTTAAGACATGTAAGAAAATCCTTTTGAATTCACTGGGGCTTACTTGTGAATAAACAAGGTTAGGCCTGTGTTGTGAAGCTTGAATGGTGGCCCAGAGATTATAGCTGTGAAGCCCTTCCACATGGTAGGGGAGACAGTACTGTGTACTACATTAGTCTTGTTCAGACATTCAAACTCCTGTGTAATGAAACATGGAAGAGGGGCCACACTCCATAGGCCCATCTCTGACATTGCATGCACTGAGTAGTGACACATATATAATGCAGATATCTGCAGAGGAGGGGAGGGCTTTGTGTATTCAGCTTTACACACAGAGACCCCCCCTTCTGCAGATGTTCATGCTGCATTCACATGGTGTGCACCTGGTGTGTATGATGTCAGTGGCAGGGTTTCTCTGCACAGTATAAAGGACCTCAGAAGACTGACTGAACAGGGATATTGACATGCAGGCCTGCTTTCGCACTCTTTCTAGGCAGGGACTGATTAAGAAAATTGTTCTTCCATTGCATTATGTGCATTACGTATCACTAATCTCCACACTCTTTTCTTGTGCTAGCTTCAGGGGTGAAGCTAACAGTTTCAGGGGTGGGGTGGGGGTGCAATGCAGTGGCATTGCTTGGAAGGGGCCACAGAGGCAGTTGCCCTGGGAGCAAAATTCTTAGGGGCAAAAAATTTCAACACCCAGGTACTGCAGGCAACACTGGCCTCTGTCCCTCTTTCCTGCCCTCCCTCTTCTGATGCCCTCTTGCATCTCTGCCTCCCCAAGGCTTGTGTGGCTGTTTGTTGCAGCAGCCCTGGCTACAAGCTCCACAGGCGAAAGATGCTTCTTGGGCTAGCCAGGGGGATGCTTCCCAGACCCCTGTGGGGCAGTGTGAGGAGGCACCTCTCTTTGGGGCAGGGTAGGCAACTCGGAGACCAGGGGTGACAACCTTGGCTGCCCAGAGGACTCCCAAGTGGGGGGAAGAGGAGAGGAGTCTGAGGGAACACTATACAAGGGAGGAGGTTCAAAAAGTGGTGAGGGGCTGCTGGCTGTGTAAGCAAGGGGTGACATAACTGGGCTCCTGAGCCCCACAGGGGTGCCGCAGAAAGAATGTAGTTGGTCAAGGGAGCCATGGGCCCCAAAAGGTTGAAAACCTCTGTGTTAGGCAGTTGAATGTGTATGTGTACTCAATCCATTTTGCTCCCTCCCACCCCCTGCTCCATGCTGCCCTGGGGTCTGAAAACCCCCGCTATGCCACTGGTGCAGTGCCAAAATCTCTGATGATGCAGGTTCCAATCAATGCAGTTCCAGGAAGGTGGTTTCAAATGCCGTGCCTCCTCTGGTCCAAAGAATCACGCATGGTGCCTCTTTTTGTCTTGCACCAACTGGTTCCAGTTTGACAAAATCTGGTGGTTCAAAAAGTTGACCCTCTTCCTGTTTTAAAGAATGCATCATTATTTTGTAACACCCAAATTACAAGACATTCAAGCATAATGACCCCCCATTTTCAAAGCATCGTGTTGCATCTCCTTGTGATCCTCGCCTGTCACTCAGATGTAGGAATGTAAGAAGTCATCATTTCCTATTCTGCCCTGTATGGTCACAAGCAGCATTGCTTCTGTCTCACTGCAGTTTGTCTGTCACCAAATACAGTATTTGCATCACTGTCCACTGTGGTAAAATTATGTAATTTACGTAAATTGCATGGTCATTGCATAATTCCACACCCTTCATTTTGATATGAAGGAAACGCAATGCAAATGGAGACGAAACCTAATCATTTGTGCACTGAAAGCAACAACATCAGCAAATACTGATAGTATTTCCTGGGTGGATTTCTGTTCATATGTGGATGAGTAAATGAACACCAGCAATTTACATATCTCTTTTCATTTCCAACTGAATTTTCTAACATCCCTACTCAAAGGTCTGTCTCTTTCTCTGACGAGGGCTTGATTCTTTGCCTTCCACAAAGCACATTCCTGAGTACATTGATGGTTCCAGACACTTTTCTCGTGGTTCAGCATTGCTGCATCTTTCCTCAGATTTGTCTGCATCACCCAGGACAGGCAATAAGTGGACTGATATCCTCATCAGTACTTGCTGTAACCTCTGCCTTAGGATTAATACTGTGTTTGATTGTTTTGCTCTCCAGTTCCCATCATTTCATTTGATACTGTAAAGCTTGTGGCAATTTCTGTCACTGAGCTTTTCTTTAAAATACTACCAGAAGTGGCAGCTCCGGCTCAGCAAGGGTTTGTGAAAAGAGAAAAGACTGTGTAAAACCAAAATATGCACACATTCTGGCTATCCCACAATTGTGATCACACTAGAAACAACTGTCATAAAGTTTATTCTCTGCTGCCTCAACGCTGTGTATAGTTCATTATCAAAAAGTGAGGTGCATTCCATCTCAATAGCATTCTGTGACAAAGTGATCAGGCAGGCTTGACAGCTGGGCCTGGTGAGCTGCCTGTCAAGTTGGAGAGCCCTCCTCTTTTATCAAATCTAGAAACGGATAGTGGGGGGAGGGAGGGAGAGAGAAAAAGCACACCTTCACTGGCAGTTGGGACTTGTCAGCTGGGAGAGAAGATAGCTGAGAGAATGGGAGGGTGGGGTGGGGTGGGGGGAAGGAGAGGAAGAGGGAGAAGCTAAGCTAGGAGATTCCTTCTAAACCTGTCCTTGTCATTCTTGCAATGGATCTAACCCACTTAAATGATTCTAATGATGGGAATAAGGTAGTTAGAAATGGTAACAAATCTGTTTCTATTGGTCTTGAGTTTAAGTACACCATCTGAGCCCTTTTTTCCCATTAGTTCCATTAGCAAATGTTGTGCCTTCATATTGCAGAAACTTTTTCTTGTGTCCTTCCCCATGACCTTTGACCCAGCCTATTTTGTTCTGATTTATATGAGTTTAAGGGTGCACAGATTTTGATGGGGAGAACCTCCAAGATCACCACTCTCTTGATGGAAAAGAGTAGATCTCATTCGCACAAACCGTGGTCTCTCTCTCTCTCTCTTTTTGTGGTCTCTCTTTTGTGAACAAGAAAAGAAGTCACCCTCTTATCAAACTTGCTTCTTCTCCATTGACAGAAAAACTGCAAGCCATATGGAAAAAATGATGTAAATAATCCTTGCCCTGCAGAATATCAGATTGCATCGGGGGATTACAGATCATATACCAATTGTGGAGGGTGAGTATGCTTGACATGCAAAGATCTGTGTGATAGCAGTTATGATGCCAAAGTGGGAGTTTATCAATGCTTTGCCACAATGAGGTAGTTGGGTTGCAAATGTCTGACCAAATATTCAGGTACCCTGGGTATGACCTGCTGGTTTCTCTTAGGGACAATGGCTTTACTATCTGAAGTGTGGAATCACCAGTCTGTTGCTAATACTCAGCTCTGCCTTTTCTTGGAAGAGATCCAGGAATTTCAGTTCTAAATGAGTGTTTGAAGGCTGTGGTGGGGTAAATGAGGTTGAACAGGTTTAGACTGGATCCACAAAAGCGATACATATAGATGTGTTCTTCCTTTGCCACTGAGCCAAGTCCACAGACTTTATTGTACTCCTGGACCTGAGCTTAATGTTGAAGGCTCAAATAGTGCAGCAGTTAGGACCACATTCTATCTGGCAGAAAAAAATACTTGTAGAGATGAGATGGGTCAAATTTCATATAATCATAGAATTGTAGAATTGGAGGGGATACTGAGGGTCATCTAGTCCAACCCTCCTGCAATGCAGAAATCCCAACTAAAGCATCCATGACAGATGGCCATCCAACCTCTTCCTGAGGATTAGTAAGAATCTCCTTCTAACTTGAATCCATTGGTTCAGGTCCTAGCCTCCAGAGCAGGAGAAAACAAACTTGCTCCATCTTCCATGTGACAGCCCTTGAGATATTTGAAGATCCATGCTTATGTAATTTGTGACCCTAATTGGCTTTGGATGTGCTCCAACCATGGTTTCCTTTAAACTTATACTTCTAACCATGAGTTCTAGAAACATTCATTTTAAACTAGTAACCTTGCAGCAAGAAAGAATTGTTGGATCAAAGAAAATGCCATGCCATCCATGCTCTTGGCAGGATCACATCCCACCGGAGAGAAGGGCAAGGAAGACCAAGTAATACAGGCAGCAAGTAATATTTGGCGTTCTGAAAAATATGTAGCAGGTGCTGGATGGGATTGTGCAAGAATGTCCCCAATCAGATCTAACAGAAATTCCAGGTGTCTGTTCGTAGGATCGATTCCAAGGAGCTAGCAATGGAAGGAGACATTTGAGGTTAATGCAAACAGACTGGAATATCTGGGGTGGAAAAGGTGTAGAAAGTGAGATTGAGAAGGGAAGTGAGATTAGGCATATCACAAATGTCACAGTGGCATTATATAAACCTATGATGTATTCACCATTGGAAGTAACAGCTATAGTCTGGTTATACTGTCAGAATGGATATTGCATACTGGAAATGGTATAGAAAGAGTAAGTAAAATGGTAAAGAGTAAAACATGTGAACAAAGGCTTCAAAAGAAATTGAGGCTTTTTAGTTCAGAAAAGGATAAGAGAAATTATTTTCCGTCTCTCAGAATAGTAGATCTTTCAGTTACATTGATCGGCTGACAGTTCTACACAAACAAAAGGAAGCACTTTGCTTCTTCCTGTGACGCCTAGTAATTAAGTTGTTGAATTTGTTGCCACCGGATGTTGTGGCGGCTACTGACACTTATATTTTTTTAAGGGTTAGAAAAACTTATGTGACTTTTCTTCTAGGACAGGACAGTCATCATACTACAATGAAAATTGTAGGAAAGGGCCCTTCCGCAATAGGCAGAAGAAAATTGCTGTTGGGGACAAGAAGGTAAAAATCACCTCCTAATACAGTTCATTATTGGTTACATTATTTATTAGATTTATATACCACCTTTTCCCTGACGAGCTCAAGGCAGTTTATATGGTTCTGCCCCTTCTCAATGTAGCCCCACAACAACCCCATGAAGAATCTTAGGCTAAGAGATAATGACTGGCCAAAGTCATCCAATGAGCTTCAAAGATGAGAGGGGATTTGATCCCTGGCCTCCTTGGTCCTAGTCCAATCCTCTAACCACTACTCCACAACAACAGAATAAATCCTTGTCACAAAGCAGTAGTGGCTATGTGGGTACTCCAGTAGGGACAGAAGGATATGGTCCCATGCTTGTACTGTTGCTAAATAAAAATGGTCTATGTGCCCAAGAACTAAATAAGCTGTGAGGAGTGGTTCTGCATTTATTGCATCGCTCACAACCTGGCTGTGGTACTACTCCATGCTCTGGTAAATTCCAGACTGGATTATTGCAATGCATTCTACGTGGAGCTGCCCTTGAAGATGGCTTGGACACTTCAATTGGTCCAAAATGCAGTTGCCAGATTTCTGACTGTGTTCCATCTAGAACTCATATAACCCCTGTTTTAAAACAGCAACAATGGTTGCCACTTCATTTCTAGGCCCAATTCAAGGTGCTCATGCTAATGTTTAAAGCTCTAAATGACTTTGGCCCCAAATATCCGAAATACTGCCTCCTTCGCTACACCTAAGCAAAGAGGCCCTCTTGAGAGCACCACCTACTTCAGAAGTTTGGGGTGGTGGTGATGGCCTGGGAGAGGGTATTCTCTGTACAGCCCATAAGTTGTGGAATTCCCTCCCCACAGAGGTGTTTCTCTCTTCATCACTATATATTTTTCAGAGAATGTTGCAGATGCACGTCTATACCCTGGTCTTTGAAAACTTATATATATTTTAGAACCCACTAAAATTTGTTTTAAATTGTTTTTAATGCTGTACTTTATTTTTCTGCAGCCCACGCCAGGACCTTCAGGTGAAGGGCAGGTAATAAATATAATAAATGTTAGTGATGTTGATGATATGTGAACTTCAGTGTTTGCATATATTTGTGTATTTATACATCACATTTCTAATGTTTCAATTCATATATATATACATATATATATATGTATATTCTGGTGTCCTGTGTCTTTATTTATTCCATCTGTGGGAGGGGGCGGGAATAGCCACGCAAAGCCACTCCTGACATCCGGAGGGGGGGGGGTTGCGGGCTCACGCCCCATTCACACCCTTGCGGGGCTGGCTGCAGCCCCGCGGGACCTAGGGAATCCCGGGGTCATTAGTATTCATCATTCTCCGCGCCAGCCAATCGGCTGGCAGCGGGGGCGGGACTTGTAAGGGGCATTTAAGGTCGGGACAGCCCATGCTCGCCCCTTTCTTTTCTTTCAGCAGCTGCGGTTTCCCACCCTCCCGCCCTTTAGGTTCTCATCTGGACTTTGCTATGGGCTTTGGCTGGTCGCCGCAAGGGGCCTGGTAGGAGTTTTTCCATTTGGCTAATTGGCTATATTTTGGAAGCCACTTGGTTTTCTCGCCTACCTCGTAGCAAAACGTCACAACACCTTGGTTTTGGCAGTTAGGCATTGGCAGGGTATTATTATGCAAATGAGATGGGGGGGAGGAACGCCATCACCTCCCCCAAATGATGAAGGGTAGTTCGTTAAAGGACTCCGGGGGGCGTTGCCTCGTCCGAAACCTATGGAGGCTAGGGCCTAAAGCGCGGTAACCCCTCGGGGAGCGCCTAGGGATGTGCATCTCGGGGGCTCCCCCTGTTGGTGCTTAACCCTTCCCGGTTATACCGGTTAGTCTGATAGGGCCAATGCCTAAAGCCAATACCGCTCTTACCTGTAATCAATGAAGTTGTGGCCATTTTTCGCCCATTAACCTAAATTCTGGTGTCCTGTGTCTTTATTTATTCCATCTGTGGGAGGGGGCGAGAATAGCCACGCAACCCACTAAAATTTGTTTTTAAATTATTTTTAATGCTGTACTTTATTTTTCTGCAGCCCACCCCAGGACCTACAGGTGAAGGGAAGGTAATAAATATAAGGATGCTGTTGATGATGATGATATGTGAACATCAGTGTTTGTATATATTTGTGTATTTATACATCACATTTCTAATGTTTCAATTCCCACAGTGGCTTGGAATTTAAAGCCAGCTGATTCAGTACGAAGCCAGTGATCCTGGGTTTTTGACTGTCTGCAGGGAAAACATCAGAAGCTGCAGATCCTCACATTATAGCAATATAATTCTGAGAAGTTGCAAGTCCTGAAATCATTTCGATTCTCCTTAAAAAACAAACAAATGCTAATCTCTACTGAATCTGGAAATTCCAGTGTTTTCTGAGCTCAAGCCAGAAGACTCTAAAGTCCCTTTGAATTCTTTGTAGAAAGGATACACATAAACGTATAATTCTCCTCGCATCATGCTATATGCAAATAACTATATGAGTTTCTTTCTTGTACAGTATATGTAGAAAGACCAAACTCATGTTTGCTCTGCTTGTCTGTTCATAATAATAAAAATCCTTCCAGTAGCACCTTAGAGACCAACTAAGTTTGTTATTGGTATGAGCTTTTGTGTGCATGCACACTTCTTCAGATTCTTCATGCACACGAAAACTCATACCACTAACAAGCTTAGCTGGTCTCTAAGGTGGGACGTGGGTGGTGCTGTGGGTTAAATCAGAGCCTAGGACTTGCCGATCAGAAGGTCGGCGGTTCGAATCCCCACGACGGGGTGAGCTCCCGTTGCTTGGTCCCAGCTCCTGCCCACCTAGCAGTTCGAAAGCACATCAAAGTTCAAGTAGATAAATAGGTACCGCTCTGGCGGGAAGGTAAACAGCGTTTCCATGTGCTGCTCTGGTTCGCCAGAAGCGGCTTAGTCCTGCTGGCCACATGACCTGGAAGCTGTACGCCGGCTCCGTCGGCCAATAAAGCAAGATGAGCGCCGTAACCACAGAGTCAGTCACGACTGGACCTAATGGTCAGGGGTCCCTTTACCTTTAAGGTGCTACTGGAAGGAATTTTTAAAATTTTGTTTCAACTACGGTAGACCAACACGGCTACCTACCTGTCTGTTCATAATTACTCACATACCTTCAGGCCTGCAAAGATAAACACACCTCCATGAAGATCAGGAAAGTATGTTAATTTGTTGGAATGAGACATTGCCCTCTAGTGACTGGAAACAAACAAAACAGTTACATCAGCTACTGTTTAATAAATCCCTTGTTACAAGAAAGGGCTCCTGCGGCTGTTCCTAAATATATGGTTGTGTAAATGAAAAGAACAGATGGATGAGCCTTTCATGTGGTATGCTCACATATGTATACACTCACAGTGATCAACCCAGGTATTGTTTTTACTGTATTATTATGTAGTAGATGAACAGGAAGGGTGATCTCTTATAACAGAACTGATCCTTAATTCTGACAAACTGACTGGGGAATGCACAGGGTGCTCTTGGATGAGGTGGCAGGTAGATGCGTTGATTCTCCTGCCTTGGGCAAGGAACCTGTCAATAATAATAATAATAATAATAATAATAATAATAGTAATTTATTATTATTTATACTCCACCAATCTGGCTGGGTTTCCCCAGCCACTCTGGGTGGCTCCCAACAGAATATTAAAATTATGATAAAACATCAAACATTAAAAACTTCCCTAAATACGGTTGCCTTCAGATGTTCTAGAATGCCTTGCATGTGTCCTTTTATTGAGCAGTTCTTAGCTAGCTGGCACTACACATCAGATCAGTTCCAGCTTTTTCTTTTCATTTCTGCTGTTTGTACAGTGCAGGACTTATATTCAGTTTCTTTCTCTATTGTTCGTCATACCCATCCTTTTGGGGGTGATGGTGTGGAGGGATGATCTGAGCAAAGGCTATCAAAGAGGTCCCAAAAATTATTGAGAAGAAATTTGACCATGAAACACCTCGTTATAAGAGCTGTGAGCCGATGGAACAATTGTTGTTGTTGTTGTTGTTGTTGTTGTTGTTGTTGTTTGTACCCCGCCCATCTGACTGGGTTACCCCAGCCACTCTGAGCGGCTTCCAACATATATAAAGACATAATGAAACATTAAACATTAAAAGCCTCCCTATATGTATTTTGTCAGTCCTAAAACATTTATGATTAAGTAAGTTACCTTATACTGTAGCATGTTATCTAATTTACTTATATCTATTTTCTCCTTCCAGCTGGACTGTGATCAAATTCTAGCCGCTATAAAGAAGGAAGGGACTTCGTGCAATGCTCTATGGTCTCCTGTTTGTGGCACTGATGAGAAAACATATAGCAATAAATGTTTCCTGTGTTCCGCAATTGTGTGAGTATTAGCAGTTGCTCTGGGGGCATTGCAAATGCATTCTGACTTCACTGTGGGATCCTAATTGTGTTTACTTCATTGCAAACTACCCAACATCTTGGTGATTTTCCAATGACATACACAGAGATCAACAAGATCCCAATTAAAGGAATGACAAATAATTCAGGATAATGGCAATGCTTATTTGGATGCCATCTTTGTCATCATTCGTTGGAAACCCTAGCCGTGTTTAATGATCACCTAGACAAGAATTAAGATAGGATTTAATTCATAATGGGATGAGTGAATGAGGGTGTGTGTGAAAGAAAGAGAGAGAATTCCTCATAATCCTAAGACATCTTGAAAGACCTGTCTTCAAAAAACAGTGAGCAGGTATGAAAAGCAACTGCCTCGTGTTCTGCATTAATTGATCAGCATCTCATCATAAAAAGCATATATATCAGTAATCAGGTTCCCCAAGTGTGTCCAAAGCTGTTGTGTATAGATTCTGCTTCCTCCACAAGAGCTGGTTCACACAACCATTGTGAGGTGCATGTTGGTGGACATTTAAAAAGTCCACGCATTCAGCTTTGACATCCTGAACTTATCACACAACAACCAGGATTCAGCTTTTGGAACGTGATTTGTGTGTGTGTGATTTTTAAAACATTGGCAGTCTAGCCCAAAATTGAAACCTGCACTTAATAGCAATTGCTTGAGTGACTTGCCCTAGTCTGAGAATAACTGTGTTTAGGGATTTCAGGCACCTTTCCTATGAGTGTTGTGCCCTTGATAGTCATGTGAAAAGATCCTCAAGCAGTTCTCTCAATACTTGGAAGCAGCATATTAATTAGGTAGCATGACACACTGAGTGATGCTGAGGATTGTTCTGCTTGTTTTGCTGATTTTAATGTTGTTCAATTATTGCTTGCATGCGACTAGAGGAACAACTGAAAACAACACACAATAAATACAATATAGCACTTAATGCAACATAAAGCAGGGTGGGTGCAGTTGGGGGAGGGGCTTGGGGTGGTTAGGTTTGGCACCAGCAGTCAGCCAGGCTGGGCCGTTGTTAATGGTTCTATCTTCAACTCATATATATCCTAAATCAACAGAGTATTGCCCTGCTTTGGAATGCCTTGGCTAAGCCATCATCTGATTCCTCTCCCTAAGCATGACCATTTTGTACCTTCTGTCTATATGTTGTCTTATATCTGTTCTGCACATAGTCTACCATAACTTGATCATAGGGTTAACTCACTTTAGGGGAGTGATAGGGGAGCACCATATAACATTTATTCTACAATTTCTAGGAAAGCTGAAGATACCCTTGCGCTAAAGAACGAAGGTGAATGTCAGGCTGGTCATATAAAGGTGAGACTCTGAATAATTTGAGGGCAGGGCTAGCATTAAATGATCTGTTGAGTCAAATGGAACTACTAAAGCAGGGGTGTCCAACAGGTTGATCGTGATCTACTGGTCGATTGCGGGGCATCCCTGGTCGATCCTGATCGATTGCCCCCCCCAAAAAAAGCTCAACAATTTTGGTCAGTACAATGGGTAGATCACTGCCAGGGTTTTTTACGTGGGAGTAGATCGCAGTCTCTTGGAAGTTGGACATCCCAGTACTAAAGGAATGGTATCTGACTAAGTGATTCTCAGAGTAAGTCCACTGAAATCAATGGAGTTAAGTTAGTCAAGACTAACTGGGTCTGTTCTGAGTATGAATTTGTCAGATGCCACCTTAGGTTTCCAGATATGCCAAATATCAGTTTATCATTGTCTCTTCCAAACTTTAACAAAGTATAAGGTTAATCAGCCATGGCGACCGGGAGGTGATGACTGAGTATAGTTGTCTTCTCCAAGTGTCCATTCTAGTATTTTCGCTGCTGTTTTGTTAGGCTGACTGCAACCAATACCCCCAAACCAGAGGGAAAGTCCTTTGCAAGAGGAGAAGCCAAGAGGTGTGTGGAACAGATGGCGAGACGTACGGCAGTGAGTGCATGCTCTGTGACAGAATCCTGTGAGTAAACCAAGCCTGCCTTGCCCATAATAATACTGAAAGGCATACAACTTTTTCATTAATTAAACCAAAATGCATATTCCCACCAGGGGTTCTCATGCACTGAAGTGGCCAGCAGCGAAGGATCCTCTTAACTCAGCACACACATTCATAGTGGAACCATTCCATCTTTACTTTCAACAGAATTGTGGGGATTACAATAAACTCAAAGTGGGCTATTTTAATCAGAACTTTTGCATTTTCCAGGTGCTTCTTAAGGTATCCTGATTCATAAAAGATGTTTCTGCGTAATGCTTAAAAAGCAGCTAAGAGAACCATCAGCAACAGATTTAATGGCAATGTTTGTACTGAGACAGAAAACAAACTCTTTCTCAACCTTTGCAGCAGATTATATTCTGAATTCTTTTTAGCATCACATCTAATCTGTGAAATGTTCTGTGACCTTACTATGAAGGCCTTTCCACCAGCGAAGTTATTAGGACTGTATGTGTGTTCACACTAATCTATTCTCTCTCCTTTTTTTTAGGAAAACAAAATCTGAAATTGGTATAAAAAATATCGGACCATGCCCTAAGGTTTGTTCTGCTCTTACTATATATAGATTGACAATGGACACCAGAAGTTTATAATAACTCTTCATCATCCCATTTATTGTAGCCATAAAACTGAAGGGGGAAAAAGAGGTTAGCAATTGTGTAAAATGTGAACTGGTCCTCTCAGCACTGGGTCAGTTTCTGTCCTACCCCTTCCACCCTTTTGTCAGGACTCTTGCTTTGACACACACACCCCAGTTAGAATCATAGAGTTGGAAGAGACCACAAGGGCCATCGGGTCCAACCCCCTGCCAAGCAGGAAACACCATCAGAGCACTCCTGACATATGGTTGTCAAGCCTCTACTTAAAGACCTCCAAAGAAGGAGACTCCACCACACTCCTTGGCAGCAAATTCCACTGTCGAACAGCTCTTACTGTCAGGAAGTTCTTCCTAATGTTTAGGTGGAATCTTCTTTCTTGTAGTTTGGATCCATTGCTCCATGTCCGCTTCTCTGGAGCAGCAGAAAACAACCTTTTCCCCTCCTCTATGTGACATCATTTTATATATAGTTGATGTCATTTTGACGCACATGGGCCTTCAGATGTGTAACACCACCCTCTCACTATGACTCTCTTCCCAGATATAAAGGCGTTCAGGTTGCCAGAAAGCTTTAGGAAGAAAGCGTGACAAAGGTAAGAAGAAGAAGAAGCCAAAGTCACATGGCTGTAATAAGGGAGATGAGGGGTATTACAACAACCAAACGCTGCAGAAAAACCTGTTGCAATTTTATGGTGACTCGCAGTCTAAGGAAGGAACCAGATGCACGCCCAGTATATGCCTGTCTCTAAACCCACAGTTGCTCAAATAATGGGAATGTAGAGTAAGGGATGCGGGTGGTGCTGTGGTTTAAACCACTGAGCCTCTTGGGCTTGCCAATCGGAAGGTCGGTGGTTCAAATCCCTGCGACAGGGTGAGCTCCCGTTGCTCGGTCCCAGCTCCTGCCAACGTAGCAGTTCTAAAGCACGTCAAAAAGTTCAAGTAGATAGATAGCTACCACTGCGGCGAGAAGGTAAATGGCATTTTGGTGCACTGCCCTGGTTTCACCAGAAATGGCTTAGTCATGCTTGCCACATGACCTGGAAAACTGTCTGCAGACAAACATCGGCTCCCTCAGCCAGTAAAGCAAGATGAGCACTGCAACCCCAGAGTCGTTCGCAACTGGACTTAACTGTCAGGGGTCCTTTACCTTTACCTTTAAGCCTCAGCCAATAATCATTTCAGATACTTCCAGGACCAAATTCACAGAGTCAGTAAACCCAAGAACTCTGTTCAACATACAAGAATTTAGGAACTTATGAAGGGGCTCCTTTTTCCACATACAGAAATGATGACCACTTTGGAAATAACTGTGGCAGTTCCATGAGTCTCCCAGAGAATATCCCTTTCTCTGCGGTCAATATTAGAAATTTCTGTGTACTGATAACTGAAAATTTGCCATTTTATTGACTTTCAGATATCAAATTGATCCACCTCATCCAAGCCTTGCGTTTTTGGTGTGTGTTTTTAGAGCCCTAGGTTGTCATAGTATTAAATATATGTTCCTATTGCCCCAAAGAATTTAGGGATGTGGATTACTTTTATTTTTTACAAATTATTTTTAATTATTTTTAAAACAAAATTTCTCTGAGAACAATTGTGAACTGTCAATATACTTTGCAGGAATAAATTACTATTAGAAAATAATGCTGTGTAAAGTTCAAAGATCATTGGCATGTTTCAACCGGCAATATTCAGCCTCTTGAAATTGTGAAACCTCCGCAAGCCAGTCTGCTCCACAAAGCAAGCAACAGATAGCATAGATTTCATATCAAAGTGATTTTCCCAGTGCTTTTTTTCTGGGGGTACACAGGGGTACCCCTAAACATTTTGTGAATCTTTGTACTTTTGTCCATTTACTGTATTTATTTTTCCTGATTTGAACTATAAAATGGTGATTTTCTTGAGTCAAAATGAGAGTACCCCTAAACATTTTTTTAAAGCACTGGATTTACCTAAGTACATACCTAGTATAGTTTGTTATCCTAATACAGTGGTACCTCAGGTTAAGTATTTAATTCATTCTGGAGGTCCGTACTTAACCTGAAACTGTTCTTAACCTGAAGCACCACTTTAGCTAATGGGGCCTCCCACTGCTGCTGCGCCGCTGGAGCACGATTTCTGTTCTCATCCTGAAGCACTATTTCTGGGTTAGCGGCGTCTGTAACCTGAAGCGTATGTAACCTGAAGTGTATGTAACCCGAGGTACCACTGTAGTAAACTTCATAAAGTTTTATTTAGAGAGATTTTGTCCTCTCAGAACCTCAGACTAAATTCATTCTGTTTTCCCCAGAGCAAGTGATGGAAGAACTGGCATTCAGAATTAAGGAAACTGCTGCATTCCCAAGTGTTGCAAAGCCTGCCTTCATACTATATTCAAGGAGCTATCCCATCTCTATAGTACATGGGCAACAACTCTGCACTACTCTGCATGGGGACAGGGTAACAGACCTTGATGACCCAGTCATCAGACGGACTCTTCCATTTGCTTCCTTATTGAGTTTCATTCTTCCAACTTCCATGGACGCTCCAGAACATTTTCTCACCTCCACCAATCTCAATGAGTTTCTTCAATAAAAAAAACCTAAGAAGATCTCTGCCAATCATTCCCTTTGGCCATGTTTAAAAATATATTGAATGTTAAGAACATTTTTTTGTCCTATATTTTCTCAGTAGGAACAACGGGTAAATTAGTTGATTGACAGTAGATTGACTTCTTAACCTTGATTTAATTCAAATTTTAGTGTGCTTAAGCCCAGTGAGGGTTTTACTTAACAAATAAAGAGATGTCCAGATCGCTTAATGGCATCTTTTAGCACACTAAAACCTTGAGTGGCCATATCTAATTATCAGGCATGATACCACTTACAGATGCAGTATACTTTGTGACTTGAGTAAGTCATGCCCTTCTCCATTTTTGTTTTCTTTACCCATAGCAAAAATCCAGACTTACCCACCCCACAAGGTTGTTGTGAGGTCTAAGTGGGTACATTTATTCATATATGACTTCTGCCAAGTCATAAGTGTTAGTTGCAAAACACTTAACATTTGCAGGCATCTGACTTTGTATGGTATGCTCATGCCATTTTCTGTGGCCTCCTCAACCAAGCGCCAGGTGGGCATAGGATAGCTCCCTAAGTTGGCAATGTGGTTGCAAACCCTAATATAAACAGTACAATTCCACTTAACACTCTATTTTGTTTATCAGAATCAGCATCAGTAAACAATGGGCAAGCTCATAGGGTTGAAAAGAAGGCAGGGGAGAGAGAGGAAGAGGTGGATGCCTCATTGATGGTGCAGTCCTATACACACTTATCTAGGAGTAAGTCCCACAGACATCAATGAGACTAACTTCTGAGGAGATGTGCAGAATTGCAGTGTAAGTGTTGCAGTGTAAGTGGTGTTGTGTTGCTCTTTTGAGGACATCACAGCATTCCAAAATTATGCTGACACCAGCATTGGTTAGGCGTACAACGATTAAGCTATTGAGTATGTGTGTGGTTGAGAGGGGAACTGAGGGTAATTTACCTATGTCTTTTTTCTGGGCATTTTGGCTAGAGCCTGCTGTATTGTATAGCAATATTGCTATAAAATATTTCTCTAGTCCATTTACCTTTCTTGTCAACCACATCATTGTAAATCACTCTGTTAACTGTCACAGCTATGTATTTTTTCCCCAGCTGATATGTTGGGCTGGTAGTTGGAACAAGTCTTTGGTATTCAAATTTGGCTTCTGGGTAGGTCTGGTAAAATGGTGTGTAACACTTTTTGTCCAGTCATTTATGCGCATGTAGCCATTGACACTATGGCAGCCTTTGCCAACCTGGTGCCCTCAAGATCCTGGGTGCATCTGACAGGACTTGTACAGTAGTCCAAAACAAAGGCTGCTCTATAGTCATTAGACTAACATACAGCTTATGGTTTATTCTTCATTATTATTCTCCATTTCCCTCTAGCTCTGTAATCTCAATATTATATGTAGATATTTTCTTCCAAAATATGTGTATGTAAAATAATATTTGTTTTTTGATGTTTATAGAGCTAGATTTTTTAAAATAATAATAATAATAATAATAATAATAATAATAATAATAATATTTACCACTGTAATATAAAAACACTGATCTGGTATATTTTAGGTAGAAAAACGAGTCCTTGCTTGGTCCTTAAAAGACCCAAGGCACAAGCCCATGACACAAACATGTGTAAAATGTGCATAAACTCATTTCTATATGTAGATGCAAATTTCAGCTGACTCTCAGAGGGAGAGCTCCTTTAAAAGTATCTCCTTTAAAAAAAAAAAAAAAAGATAAAATAGAGCAGGATAGCCAAAACCCAGGTCTGAGGCCCCTACTCTCTAACAATGGCAGGTTGATCACTATTAACAGCTTTAGTGCATTTTTGGATCTAGATTCCAAAAAACATAGGAGGCAGGAAATAATCCCCCCTCCCCCGATTTGCTCCCTTTAGCTTTTCTTTTTTTATCCTTTTGGTCCCTGCTCCAGCTTTGTCAACTACAGTAGTAGAAACCTCCAAGGAGGTGGAGAAGGGGTGTTAGAGAGGAAGGAAGATACATCACTCATGCCATCGGATAAGCAAAATTGACTGGCAAGCAGGAGTTACTGCAGTACAGAATACTGGGCAGTTGTATCTCTTCTTGCCTCCACAGTCTAAGACTCCATTTAAAGACTTGTATGGAACATTGCATCTAACACACTACTGGTATTTTCAAGACTGTAGAGTTCAGTTTCTGAGCTGGATATGTTGGGAAATTGTGGTGAAAGCCGTGAGATTTAGGCATGCTGTTGTTTAATTTATGGCGGTGCCTCAAAGCAAATATTCCCTTAGTTCATACTGAATCGGGGTGTGTGTGTGATATGAAGTTATATTGGCAGAACATTGTGATTTAATTTTCTTTTAACTGTGATGGGGACTGTAAATAATCCCTCTTGTGACAGCCTTCTTTGTATATTTTGGCAGAGATCTTGTGCATCTATATTTCTCAGCTGAATTTTATAAATGTGATGAACGTGGCTGCTGGTCTCCAGCTAAGGCACTGGCAGTCAAAGTAGTGCTCTAAGTAGTTTTCTTATCTTATTGGTGTATGTGTTCAAATACTTTTAAGTGTTCTTGTTCAGATGCTTATTGAAGTTGTGTATTGTGTCATTAACTGTTCAATTGCTTTAAGTGCATGGATACCAAGTATCCATGAAGACATAGTATGCTGCCTTAAAATTATATATGAAGAGTCAGGATATAAATGTAGGAAATAAACCCCAAACCTAAAAATAGATAAAACTGTTGCTGAGTGGAAAGAAGATATGAAAAGTATCATAATGGAGGAACACTATTACAAATCATTTATTTTAGAAGACTCTGCACAGCTCAGGTTTGTTACTGACATACACTAAGATAAATTAAGGGGGGAAGGAAGTCATGTTTTCCCTCTTGGTTAACATACTCATTAATGTAACCAGCAGATCTATATTTAGACTCTATATTTGCCTAGGTCTAAGGAATGGGGAGAAATATGGTTTTGTTTGCATTTTAATGAGAAACAACCCAATTCCCATTCTCGAACTAAAAGGCAGCTATCCTTTGAAATTCTCACTTCTCCAAACTTTGTGACACAGCTCTCCAACAAAAAAAAAGGGCATAAACGTGCATATATTCATGAAAAATGTACATGAAAATAAATATCTTCATAAACAGAATGAGGTGCTTGCAAAGATACGTATATTAGTCAAAACTTTAAAATAAAGTAGGTGCAAATCTCACAAAAGTGTTGGCAAATCTTCATAAGGATTAATAAATATATAAATTAGCAAAATGCTATAGAAATGTGGAGCGTTGTATGTAAAAAGGAACTGAACTGGAGAGATTCTTCCATTCTGTGGAATCTATAATTGTTATTTATTACTGGGACCCTCAGATCCACTAACTGGAGTCAGGTGCAAAAGGCATACACTTAAAGTGGAAGAATCCTGCACCCAGCAGTTTGTTTTGAGCCCCGGAAATGAACTGCATTCACAGTCCTTTCTGGTTCCTCCCCACACTCTCAGCTTCCTTCACTTCAGCAGTATAGTCTGGGCTGTGGGGGAAGTCATTTTGTTGCAATTGTTAAAACAACTGGAAGTCAGAAATCATTCCTGTTGCACTTGGATATCAACTAGAACAGGCATCCCCAAACTCGGCCCTCCAGATGTTTTGGGACAACAACTCCCATCATCCCTAGCTAACAGGACCAGTGGTCAGGGAGGATGGGGATTGTAGTCCCAAAACATCTGGAGGGCCGAGTTTGGGGATACCTGAACTAGCGTATCAGCAGATCCCAAACTCTCCACATTCCTTGTCTAGATTGGCTGTTGTTGGCATCCAACTGTCTCAAGAGACAATGGAGTGTGCCTCTGGGGCTGAAGTCAAACCGCTGTGTTAGCAGCACCAACATGACCCATGCAGTCCTGTTATGGAAGTCCTGGACTGCATAGATGACAAGACCCTCTGGTTCACTGGTGTGGTCCAAAGGAAAGCAGATAAATATGTTTGGCATCAGCTTGGCTGCAGGAGTTGCTGGTTGAGGTGTACAAGGCACCATCCAACCATTTTAGGGACTCCATTCCGTATTTGTGTAGGGCATAGTCCTTAGCCCTTTCTTCTCCCAAAGATATCCTGCAAAGGAACAGAGGTTTAAGATCAAAGTTTTCCTTCTCGTAGATGGACAACCTTCCCAGGTGGACAAGCACCATCTGCCCCTCATTTACCTTTACAGTACATGCAGAGACCTCCTTCTTGACGGTTGGATCCACTATTAGTCTCATCTGCTCAATCTGCTGGAGCCTGTCTTCGCATGCAGGGGAAGCTCCTACCTCACCAAGTGTTTGAGACCCATTGGCTACCTGTACCTGGTTTAGCCAGCCAGTCAAAGCTGTTTCCCAGGGTGTGGCCACTGTTGCATGTTGACAGCTTCTAGGAGCCGCAGGTGAGAGCTAGTTCTCCAAACGTGTCCCCCCAGAAGAGGTAGTACCCCTCCCCTAACACCCAATACATCCCAAGGTTATGTAACAGACTCATAGATCAGGGATGGAAAGGTGGTAAATTGGGATCTACTGGTTTGTCTCCACAGTAGTGGTCATAACTACTACAACAACTGTGCAACTGCTGCTTCCTAGCTCTGGTCACCAGTTCATTTGTTTAAGAAAAAGAAAGGGGAGGGGGGGTCTGAAAGAAGGAAAACCCATCTGTATGCCTACGGTCTCCCAAGCACCTCATCTCCCAAATTTCAGTTATCCCCAGGTCTCTGGAGCCCACTAGATACTGTTTGACTCCAGCTCCCATCAACCTCAGTTAGCATGGGCTGTGGTTTGAGATAATGGGAGTTGTAATATAGCAACATGGGATGTTATTGGCAATGAAGATTACTTCTAAGTGGAGTGTGTTAGATCAGGGATGGGGAACCCGTGGACCTCTAAATGTTGTTGGATTCCTTTTCCGATCAATCTCAGCCATCATGGCCAATGGTAGGAGCTTATGGGATTTGTATCTGGAGGACACCAGGTTGAGGAAGACTGATATAATATGTGTTTATCTGGTTCAGCAGTCTAATTTCCTTTTTCATGATCATCAAAGTAAAAGAGCTATGTGTTCCAGTGTTTTGCTCAGGATAACTCCAAAAGACCTTTGAAACCAATTCAGAAGATTTATTATAATCTAACCTACAAGCAATCCATTTTCTTTCCTAGTTGAAAGTTCAGAATTTATGACAATGAGAAGTAATGTAGCAGATGCTCATGTCATACCCTTGGCAAATATCTAAACCAAATAATTGTTTTACCTTCAAACCACACCATCTGATTTCAGTTCCTCCAGCAGAACCACTTGAAGGAGATCATTGTTATATCTTTTATACCACAACCGTGTTGACCTGAGAACATCAAATAAAGCACTGCTTTTTTTTTAGCTAAGACTGAACAAATCTGGAGGAAGATGATAACTGATGTCACCAAAGCTTAGAGACTGCCCAGACCAAATGAATCCTTTAGTTCTTTAACTGACAGATGACAGATGTCTGCTTCTGTGCTTGCTTGCTATGCCATGGCCATTCATGGTTTGAATTCATGGCCATAAGGAGGAGCGAGGGAAGATGACAGATCCTTTCTGGAGGACAGGATAGCTAATTGTTTAGTTTGGAGTGGCCAGATCTTCATCTGGATAGACAAACTTGTTTCCTTCAGAATGTGAACTCACCAATGAGCTTCTCTATGATCTGTTATATTTATTTATTTCGTAAAATGTACATATTGCTTGATTGTAGAAAAACTTCAAGGCAGTTTACAAAAAAGGGAAAACAATAAAATGGTCACCTTTTTTTTTTTTTTTTACAAATGTAGTATAAAACATTCAGAAGGTTAAAACTGGAGTAAAGTAAACTAAAACAAATTAAAATTCCTACAAACTTTCTAAACATCTGAGTAGGCTTGTCTAACCATCCACTGTTGGTAAAAGGCACTTCTAGCCACTGAGGCCATCTGAGCGCCCCATGACAGAGCTGGATGCAGAAGCAACACCCAAACTCCAGGCCTGCTCCTTCATGGGGAGTGTTCCAATGGACATGACAACTACCGTATTTTTCGCTCCATAAGACACACTTTTATTCTTCCTAAAAAGTAAGGGGAAATGTATGTGCGTCTTATGGAGCGAATGCGTGGTTCCTGGAGCCGAATTGCCCAGGAACAAAAAGCAAATAATGCTCTCTTTTTTTTGAAAGAGGCAAGTGGGTGTTGAAACAAAGCTGCTGATTGTTTGCCGATCGGGGAGAGAGATAAGGGACACTAGAGATAAAGGAGGCTGCCTGGGAGAGGGGAGGTAAAGACAGCAAATTTGCAAAGGGGGGAAACAGGAAGACTAAAGCAATAAGGAGAGAAATTAGAAGAAAAGGAGGAGCAAAAAACTGCTCCAGCTAAGGAAAAGACACTAAGGCAAACAAGAGGGAAGGGAGTGTTGAAAGGAAACAGCTGATTGGTGGGATCAGAAGAGAGATAAGGGATGCTAGCGGAGGCTGCCTGGGAGGGGGGAGGTAAAAGCCCATGGATCCTCAGGATTTTTGCATTGGGTCTCCCCAAATTCACCATCAGTTCACATGTCTGTGGCCACAGCATGAACCACAAAAATCATACATCCACTGTTTTGTTCAGAATATTTTTTTTCTTGTTTTCCTCCTCTAAAAACTAGGTGCATCTTATGAAGCAAAAAATACGGTACTTACCCACAGTGCCTCTGTCTTGCCAAGATTCAAGCTCAGCTTGATTTTATCCATCCATTTCATCACAGTATCCAGAAAGTTGTGCAGATTCAGATCTTATGGAAAATTGCACAACTTCTCCAGATTCAGATCTTATGGAGAAGTAGAGCTGAGTGTCATCGGCATACTGGTGGCACCTGGCCCTGAAAATCCTAATGCCCTCTCCCAGTGGATTGATATTAAATAGCACTGGAAATAAGATTCATTCCAGCACCCCATAACATAGCCCCCAAGGGGCTCAAAAACACTATCAGTGCTACTCTCTGGGAGTAAGTCTTGAAGACAGAATTGGAGCCACTGTAATACAGTGCCCCCAATCCAGAAGGATACCATGATTGATGGTATCAATATAATTGGTATCACATTGAAATAAATGATGCTGCTGCATTGCGCAATCCACAGCTAATAACACAGTGCCCATTTCTGATTTGCACTGGAGCTCCACTGAAGTTATTTAATTTAACTCAAAAATAAATGCAGTCAGCAAGCAGGAACAAACTTTTTGCACTGCAACATCCCCCTTAGTAAGCAGCATGGTCAGTTTGCAGAGGCAGCACATATGTACCAATACATGAAGGGTGGGTGGTGTGCAAGGATGGTCACTTCATCCAGCAGGCAGCCAAGTCCAGTGACAGGGGGATTCGGCAGAGGGGCATCAGAGAAGGGCTTCTTTGTAGGACTCCAAGAGCTGCCTGCAGACTGGAATCTTCAAATTACTGAATTCTGAATTTTTAAAAAAGCATACAAGCATCCTCTTTTCAATTAATGTTTCAGAGGTAAAGGTAAAGGTAAAAGGACCCCTGACCATTAGGTCCAGTCATGGCCGACTCTGGGGTTGCGGTGCTCATCTCCCTTTACTAGCCGAGGGAGCCGGCGTACAGCTTCCGGGTCATGTAGCCAGCATGACTAAGGCGCTTCTGGCAAACCAGAGCAGCATACGGAAACGCCATTTACCTTCCCGCCGGAGCAGTACCCATTTATCTACTTGACTTTGACGTGCTTTTGAACTGCTAGGTGGGCAGGAGCAGGGACCGAGCAACGGGAGCTCACCCCGTCGCGGGGATTCGAACTGCTGACCTTCTGATCGGCAAGTTCTAGGTTCTGTGGTTTAACCCACAGCGCCACCCGCGTCCCTCATTTCAGAGGTAGAGACGGATAAATATGTCCGTTTTGGTTCCCCTCAGCTTCTTCTTTTCCCCACTCTTAAAATCAGTTGTCCACATTGCCACATACATTTCAAAGAAAGTTTGCATGAAAAATCACCAGCATTTTAGTGCGAATCTGTCCTAAAATGCATACTTTTGTATGCCGTTGCCCAAGCTATAATGCATTTTCATGACTATGTGATTTTAGATGTGCACTTTACCCTAACATGGATTTTTATATGCATTACTTGGCTGCAGAACTGCCCTGAAAAATCCTGAGAAGGGTGACTTTCAAAAGATGCCTGTTTTTCGGCTCAAATCTTGCTTTACAAAGTGTGGTTTAGGTGTGCTTGCCTTTACATGCAAACTGAATGGAACATCTCCCTCAACCCTAGTTGGAGGTTTCACTTGATGAATTGCTATTGCCCCCAAAACCTACAGATACCGGAAGCTGCAGTTTGATTAACAAAACCATTGGAGCAGCTCAAATGTTTTTTCTGTTTTCATGCTTTTTCATTCTTACTGACAGAGAATTTCAACCTGTGGGTTACTGTCGACCTCAACAAATATTCCCATTTGTTTGCAACAACAAAAGACTGGGAGGGTTGCTTTAGATTAGAATCTGCATTCTGGATCTGCACACACGCATATAAATACCCAGTTGCCTTACTGGAACTATCTCTTTTACTGGGACTGGGTGTACAGTTGAATAACTGCCTCCACAATGAAGACAGTAGGTGTATTTGTGGTGCTCTCGCTGGCTCTTTCTTTCCTCTCAGGTAAGCACCTTTTGGTAGATCAGAAGTTGCATTTCAGGCCCACACAATGGGTGCAAAAACATCTCTTGTTCATCAACTGAAAAGAGGGAGAGAAATCAATGGGATTGCACATTGTTATGCAATATTCAATGGGATTGCAAGCCAGAAATCACTGGATTTTGTCTTCTGGCTCCATAAAATCTTCTCAAAAGCCTGTGGTTGAGCCTTGGCAATGTAAATCGTGTTAGGAGTGGGGATTATGAAATGGGATGAATACTCCATCTCCCATCAAGAGTTTATAAAATTTGGATGTGCCAATTTCTTTTCACCCATAGAGAGAAAACTAACTGTGAGGGACAATGATTTTGAGAGAATGGGATTCTTTCCACCTACCTTTCTCTGTTTCCTTTTTTGGGGGGGGGGGTAATAATTTTATTAGTTTTCAATTACAATCCAATAATAGCCTCATTATAACAATATAATTCGGTATTTGAACTTTCTCTGCCATTACTAATGGTCATCTCCAGAGACGCCTTTTTGATTAAAAAAAGGATGGGAAAATGTTGCAGAAAACTCTGTGCAATGTAAACTTTAGCCCACAAATGTGAGTTTTTCTTCTTTCCTGCTTCATCCTATTTAGTGCTAACATCCCCCTATCCTATTATGTGATGATAATTATTATTATTATTATTATTATTATTATTATTTATTTGTACCCCGCCCATCTGGCTGGGTTTCCCCAGCCACTCTGGGCGGCTTCCAACAAAGATGAAAAATACACTAAAATGTCACATATTAAAAACTTCCCTGAACAGGGCTGCCTTCAGATGTCTTCTGAATGTCAGGTAGTTGTTTATGTGCCATCTGATGCCCCTTTTGTGTTAGCTAATGGCACCAGAAGCCAATAAAGACATTCTGATTTGGAAGCACTATTTGTCTGTTACTTTGCATCCTTTCCTTTACAACATGAAAACACACTACTGGGCCAGAGAAGAGTGTGATCTGCCTAGGACAATGGTAATACAAAAAACAAACAAAACCAAAGTTACCAGTAGTTTTGCCATTCCCTTTTGCCTTAGGCTGTGATCTCGAATAGAATTAAAGTCCACAGAAGACAGTATAGTATACTGTGCTTAGGATCTTAATACAAAATTAATACAAAACTGGCAGAAGTGCAGGCATATTCATTCATTCATTCAAAAGCATTAATAACTCACTTAATATTTTAAAAAACTCCAAGCAATTATACAAGCTGCTACAATTCTGCAAAAGTGTAAAACAGATGTGGCAGCACACGGTGCAGAAATCATTTTTCAGGAAACTTCAGCTACCTTTACAGTGAAATCTTTTCCATATCTACTCAGAAGGAAGTTTGACTGAACTCAGTGGGGCTTATTCTCCTTCATTTATAAGATTACAGACTTGGTAATTAACAACTTGAACTCAGTTTCCTTCAATGACTGCTTTGCTCTTAACTGTGTATTTTTTTGTGTTCATGTGTGATTTTTTATCTTAGGTGTTGACAGTGACAGTGGAAGTGAGGTGCGTTCCTTTTCCTTTTCCCTTTTATTGTGCTTTACATGTTTTGTGGCATTTGTATGAATGCCTTGCTCTGTAAACAAATGCTTTCCAGACCAGGGTTCTTTACAAGTTTTATTAACAATCCCCCCCCCCCGCTCCCAGTGCTCCTCCAGTCAGTAGTAGTGGGGTGGGGCACAGCAGGAGTTACCCCAGACACAAAATTTGTTAGGGGCGCATCATCTCAACACTTGGTGCTGCCTCAATACAGCTATGGGCTTCTGTTGTAAACAGCTTCTCCATGTGAGCCAGAAAGTGACCTCTCCAGACAATGACTCTTCTTTTCTTATTATATATCTATAATTTTCTCTAAAAACCTAAACATGCTTGGATGAATTTATTATAGCTAAAATGTGGGAAGAGGTAGGAGAATGAGGGAATATGTCACAGATATTAGCACAGAACAAAGAGCTGCACACACTTTGAAAAAATAATCGTTCATGCTTCTGACACTCATGCTTAGTACAGAGGTTCATTTCACTGTGATATCTTTGTAGAAATTGTGAGTAGACCAAAAACTACCTAATTCACACTTCTCGCAGCCGTAAGTGGACCAAAAACACAGCTAGCATTAGAAATTCACACTTCCCCTAATTTTGCAATGCAGTTCTGCAACCCAAACTGTGTACAAGAATGCATTTTATTTTATTTTTTGGAAATTTGTGCATTAAAATGTATATAGGAGTGGAAATAACATAAAGGTGCATTATATTAAGGAAAGCTGCTTGCAAAAACTGAAGGAAAAAATGGTCTATTGTGAGAAATCTGCATGAAAATGAAAAAAAAAATTGTGAGGATAAACCCGTAAATTGATGCAGAAATGTGGATTATTTAATTTAAGATTGGGGGAAAATGAGAGAGGAACTGAAATTAGCAAATTTGTATATGCCTAGTCCTCCTAATTCACAGATGTATAAAATGAGGCAGCTCTCTTCTGTGGTGGCCTCTGTCCTGGACCACCAAGTAGAACCACCTAAAACCAGCCTGCAACAAAGGCACATCAAACTGTTCCATTGAATCATATGCATCTTGCCATGGAAGAGCTAGGCAATATTGCTGAACATCATAGTTATGTATAAATCGAAAGGATCACATACAACCCTTGTTTTTTCCCAGAGGCTCCAGATTTAACAGGGGTCAGCAAACTTTTTCAGCAGGGGGCCAGTCCACTGTCCCTCAGACCTTGTGGGGGGCTGGACTATATTGGGGGGAGGGGATGAACGAATTCCTATGCCTCACAAATAACCCAGAGATGCATTTTAAATAAAAGGACACATTCTACTCATGTAAAAACATGCTGATTCCCGGACCGTCCGCGGGCCGGATTGAGAAAGCGATTGGGCCGCATCCGGTCCCCAGGCCTTAGTTTGCCTACCCGTGCTCCAGAAGATGAAAGAATGAAGCTGCTAGGATAAAAAAAAGATCAGCTGGTGAAATATTTCTTTTACAGGTCAATTGTGAAAGATATCTAAGGGTTCCGAGAGCTGGTGGTGTAACACTAGCTTGCCCAAGCATCTTTCTCCAAATCTGTGGCACAGATGGCAGAACTTATACCAGTGAATGCAAGATTTGCCAGCACAACCTGTAAGTGTAATAGATATATAGAATGCTCATCTTTGGGTAACAAAGAATATGGAGGAGGAATAATAAAATGCAATAAAATTGCCTCCTCCTCTCTTTTTATCCCCTTCTGGACTGAATGGTGGCAGTATGTATACTGGAAGACTTAAGAGGGTTCAGCAGGGTAAAAATGATAGGGTATAGCAGGAGACAACATTGTGAAATCCTAGAGGAAACATTGGAAGCAGATTATTCATGGGTAAACTGAGAAACAACATGATAATGTCTTAGGATCAGAAAATAAATATGGGAAAGGTTCTATTGCGGCCTTAGTTGCCCCAGGGTAGGCAAAAGATTGATTAGGATCTACTGGTGGATCTCTGAGTGACTTGTAATACATCAATAAGGATTTGGAGTCCCAATTGTTTAGCAGTACAACAACACAAATGCTCTTAGACTTCTGGAAGACGAGAAAAGCTTGGGGAGGGAATACTAGGAGTGGATTTCTGTGAAACAGGACTGCTTCCCCCACATACACTGTTTTATACTTGGTTCTCATAGGTGTAGGGTGTATTTAAAAAACAAAGTACAACACTACCTCACCCCACCACAGCATTCATATGTAAAGTCTTTTTTTTTACCAGCGGAATGTAAAAAATGGGTTTACTTCTTGAGTTCCACATTCCTTCTCTCTTGTTTTTTCAGAGAGGCTGACGACAATGTTGGCAGGATGCATTATGGTCCTTGCAAGAGGGTAAGCAAAAATGTTTAAAAGATTATGGGTAAAAAATAAAATAAAAAATTTCAAAATAGCTGCTTTATCATGATGGTAGAATTACCATTTTGTGAATTCAAAGAGAAGACTTCTTTTATTTGTACAGAGCAAAGTTTCAGCAAGTGTAATTAATGCACCCCATACTTTCTTCCTTCCATCTTTTGTTATATAAAAAACCCAGTGCAATCCATCTAGATAGCTCTGGTAGAAAAACCTATCAGCTTTCTCTTCTACCAGTGAAATGAAGAAAGTGACTAATGATGAGCTTTTCTTTCTTTCTTTGTAGAAATAATGAGGAGACTCTTACCTTCCAGCATTTCAAAGAATGTTAAGTGCTGATTGATTATCCAGGAATCATATAATCATATAACAATGAATGGGACCTCCTAGTTAATCTCCCTGCTACATCTCAGGACCATTCACCACTAGACCCTCACAGATCAACTATGCAAGCACCAATAATGAAAGAAGACTAGAATCCAAGGATTCACGTGTCATCTTACATCTGTATATGGGGACTTTTCAGACTCTCAACCAACGACAGTCTCCCCAGCTCCCCAAAAAGGCGATTGAAGGTCATTATAATCTCACTAGGGTATAAAAATCTGCTTCCAGAAAAGACCATCAGGAATGTCATGCACACACAGAAAAATGCTTTGTGTACACATGCTGACCTCTTTGGATCCTAGTCAAAGATACTTGTTCAAAATATTGGTTTCCAAATGCTAACTTGTGTACTTTCTGATCATCCAACATTACAATTTGAGTCGTATTTAATGGTGTCTTTCCAATGACAGAAGGCTCTTTAACCCAGTAGAGGCTTCCATCAGCAAAACAGGAAATGAATGCCAATTTTTTCAACCTCCCACCTCACCCTGCAACTCCCATCACACACACACTCACACACAAGTATCTGCTCCAGGAGGTTAGGAGAGGTACCAAAAAGGCTGCAAGGTGGAGTCTGAATCTTAAAATATCTCCTCCCCTCCCATTCCACAATGTTGGATCAAAGAGTCTTCCATCAGCAGAGGAACAACATTGGATAGGCACCTTTAAATTTTGTTTTGTGTGAACAATGATCTCAAATTCAGATTTTGCTCCAAGATTTTGCTACTGATCTGCTGACATTTACAGATAACCCACAATATTACCTTAATGATTTTTGACAGTTCTTTACTTTCCCCTATGTTTGCTTGTTCCATAATAAAATTTCTTGAAGCAAATTCAATGGCTGTTTTTCATGAATCTGGTTGTATTTCAGAAGTTATTACCCCAGATGGGTCATAACTTCATTTGATTAATTAGGAATTGATTATATTGAGCTTCATGAAGAAACGTGATTTGTAACCCCATCAAATCCACAACATAAATTAAGGAAAGGACTTGGGGAAATTATTCAAATAGGACACCTGAAAGCCACTGAAAATGAGGGGTCAGGGAATCATTGGATAGGCTACAGGCTCAGACCCTTTTCACCTCGAAACATATCATATAATCCAATTTTTCCCATGGTGATCACAGTCATTCCATCATTGGCTTCAGCTTTTCTGTTTGCATGCTGAACCTCCCAGTTCTAACCTTTTCAACACATGCAGGCAATATGAAACATTTTAGGCCTTAGTGTGTGTGGCACACATGGACCCTGCCCAAGCTGAACACTGCTTGTTAGCTTTGTGTGCTTGGGCTTCACAATCTGCTTGTTTCTGGAGTCCCAGGTAACCCAGGTAAACAAGGAATTTGAATGAGCCACAGGTGGGCTTCCATGCATGACTGGCAGACTGTTTTGGCAAAGTGGGCATAGGTGAAGAAGAAGATACAGGATAACTCCAAAGGTGTCTGAAATTCACTGCTCTCCATTTTTGGGAGAACCACCAGCATTCTCAGATCCTTAGAGATGTTGTTTCCAGTGACCTCTTTTTTCCAGCCTGACTCCAGAAACCTCAGGCATAGCTTGCCCCTCTCCCCACTGGCCAAGAGGCTGGGGGTGGGGAGAAGATATATTCTTTCTGCATTGCTGGCTTATTCACAAAGGTAGCATAGATAAATTAAATTTATTCCTACATAATAAGCTGATAGGAATGATTTTTTCATAATTATTTTAAAGATTTCTTCTCACAAAAACAAATGTGATCTATACTCTTCCTTGTCCCTGCAAATTTAGCTTTGACAAATACATAATCTCATTTTATTTATACAGTTCATTAATGAACCATTTTGTAGACTTTGGCACCAGAGAGCTGGCATACAGACCGGTTGGTTCAGGTGTGTTTCCTTTGTGTGTTCCCATCATTGTATATGCTGTGTAATTCCCTTGTATTTCAGGCTCGGCTGCCTCTGTATCCTTAGAGCTACTGTGCTTTTCAATTGGAGGAAAACATGACAGCTTCCAGAATCAATCACCATGCAGCAAATTCTTTCCCACACACGTTCACAAACACACCCCTATGGTCAGCCACGTTTTCCCCCCAGCCTCCACCCATTTCCATAAAGTCATCACTTTCTTACCCTTCCTCCTGCTCCTTCACATAAGAGCTTCTGCCAATATTGTTATGAGTTTGGAGTGTTAAGCTGGTTGCCAGACTCCTCGAATCCCTGAATCTAGCAAGTGCTAAAAACTAATCAAGCTAGTTTTTAATGAGCCATTAAAAGGGATCAAGGGGTTTGGTGGGAAATGGCAGGTGGGTGGGGCCTCTCCCTCAACTCACAAATAGTGAGAAGGAGAAAAGCTGGGGTTGAGAGTTTTGGGGGACTGTGAAACCAAGAAACCAAGCAGTTTTGCAATTACAGTGGATATAGAACTCTCGCCAACAAATTCGTTTTGAAACAAAACGAAAACAAGAAACAACCCCCTGGACTTCTTGCAGTATAGAAAACGATGAAAAATACATGGGAAAGTGTGAAATAACCAGTGCATTTTTTCTAGAAATGTAGTTAATTAAAAGTGCTGGGAACTGTATCTCTTTGAGGGATTAACTATGCTTTCCCAGGATTCCTTGGGGGGAGCCATGTATGGTACCATAGGAGCCAACTCCTAGGGGCCGATAAAATATTGGAGGGGCCAGGGCCCCCCCAATATTTCATTCAAGTTGGCACCCCTTTATGGTGCGGATGTGACTTGTGCAGGATGAACGCTCAGCAAAAAAAAAGTCACCTGGAAGTAACCTATCAATTGTTTTTCTTGAGAAACTGTTACAAGCTGTCTGGCCATTGTACGGGCCAGCCATTTGCTAACAAGCTGGGCACATCTGCCGTGTTAATAACAATCTCCTGGGGCAGTGCATATGTGGACACTTTTTTAAACACCTACATCAAAATCTGAAGGTTTCCTAAGCCAATAGCAACATGAGGGAGAAGATTTGGTGTGCAAAACAAACCAATGCATATACTGTTGGCTTTTTGCAGTATGGTAGCGCTGCAGAGAGCTTGCTGGGGAGACCATGCATTAAAAAGGGACTCAAAAATAATTTAAACAAGGTTTTAATAAGAAAAACAAAAACTCCTTTTACACTAAATACATTAACAAACAAACATGACCCAACCACCAACCCATCCCCCAGGGTAATGGGAGAGCTAGGTGCTGCTCCTTATATACTACACCCAATTGCCAACACAGCTTAATCAGTACAACTCGGCAGCACCTGCTATGTTTCACAGCTGTAACGCTGGGTCTCGTTATCTTGCTCTGGCCCTTGCTTTGGCCCCTTAAAGACATACACATCGGGTGGAACAATGATGAACCTTTACATATTAAAACCATTCAACATTTCCCCTGCGGTTCATCATTGTGGAACAAAAACATAAAGCATACTTTGTACATGTTTTTCATGTATACCTTTTGGAAGTGCTTTAGTAAAAATGTCTGCAATTTGATTGTCACCTGGAACATATTTAAATACAACCATTTCATCAGCAATTAGTTTCTTTACAAACTGTAAACGTAATCTTAAGACTTTAGTGCGCTGCGTATTGGTTTCTGAACATAGGATAGCGAGTCCACTCTGGGAATCAAGGTAAACTTTTACTGGTAGTGTTACTTGCATCTGTAGGTCTGCGAATACTTGCAGATACCATTCCACATCACGAGTGGCCTGAACACATGCACATAATTCACTCTCTGTTGTGGAGAGACAAATAATGGTTTGTGTCTGGGACTTCCATTCAAATGGACAACCATTATAACAAAACACCATACCAGACACACCCCTGCAATTATTTTGTTCCACTGCATGAGATGCATCACAGAAAATTTCAAAACCTTTGTCAATACATGTTGTAAACTGCAACCTATAATGTTTGGTATGTTTAAGGTACATTACCACTCTCTTAAGAGCAGAGAAACATTGTGTAGTGGGCTTTTCCACAAATTTTGCCAGAAAGTGAAAGGCATAAGTTATATCTGGTCTTGAGATTCTTTGAATGAAATTTAGCTTGCCTATAGCAGAACGATACAAAGTTTTGTTAGGAAATGGCTTATCTTCACCTGTAAAAGTGAAACCACACACCATGGGCGTTTCCTTCCCATTTGCATTTTCTAAACATAGCATTTCAACAAGATCATCAATTTTTGCAGTTTGATGAACCAGAAAAGATCCATTTTTGCCTTTCTCAATTTGCATGGATAAGTAATTTTTAGCTATGCCTAATTCCACCACATCAAATTTCTTCTGTAACTGTGTTACTACCTGTTCATATTCCTGTTTAGTTTTTGTAGAAATTAACACGTCATCTACATAGACACATATTTTTGCTACAGAGTTTGCCCTTTCCTTTATAAACACACAATTGTCTGCCTTTCCCTGTGAAAAACCAATATCCAGCAATTCTTTTGCTAAAGTTTGGTGCCAATTCCTTCCACTTTGGTGCAGACCATAAAGGGATTTATTTAATTTGCATACCAAACCTTCAGCGGCGTCTATGCCTTCAGGGACACGCATAAAAATTTGTTCTTTTAAATCTGCAAACAAATATGCAGTTTTTATATCTAGGTGATAAACAGAATGTCCACGTTGTGATGCATCTTTTAACAAAAGCTTAACTGTTTCATATTTTACACTTGGTGAATAACACAAATCATAATCTTCGCCTGGAATTTGTTGAAAACCCCTAGCAACTAATCTTGCCTTGTACCTTACAACTTCATTTTTGTCATTCATTTTAACTCTATAAACCCATTTTGAATCAATAAGTCTCATATCTGGGGTTTGTGGTACAAGAGACCAAGTGTTATGCTCTTTTAAAGAAGCTATTTCAGAGTTCATAGCTTTATACCAATTTACAGCTTGGTGCTTAGGTAAATTCTGAACATCATTGTAGCTTTTGGCTCAAAAACTGCCTTATTGGCATACACAGTATTAAAATGTTCATCTGCAAAACGTTGTGGCTTCTGTCTCTTTCTATCTGAACGTCTCAGTCCGGAAGGAGAGTCAGACTCCTCAGACTTAATGGGACTATGTAAACTACTAGTTTCAGGTTGTAAATCATCATTGTCAGACTGAAGAGATGCCTGTTGGCTAAGCTCACGGTCAGAAAACTCAAGAGAATCTAACCTCCCCTCGGGTGCCTGTGACTTTAAATCATCAAAGAAATTATCAGATTCAACAGGCTTTTTGTCTTCTTCCATTAATTCAGAAGCACCATTTCCTGCTGCTGCTGCTGCTTCTTCTACCTCTTCTTCCTCAGTATTATCTATACCATTACTATCTTGGAAAACAGCAACACCATTCCAATTTACAGTTTGTATCATGCTTCTGGTAATATGAAATTTGCCAGTTGCTGGTATGTAAATTCTGTACGCCCCTGCTGGTAGCCCATTAATTTTCCCTGGACACTACGTTCACCCAATTTCTGCTTAGCGGGATAATGCATTATTACATCTGAACCCCAAATGCGTAGGTATTTCAGATTAGGGCGTTTTTAAACAGCTTCTCATAGGGGTGACATCTAAACCAGAATGATAACTGCGATTTCTAACATAACAAAAGGCATTGAGCGCTTCAGCCCAAAAGTCTTTGGGCAGATTAGCATCATGCAGATAAGTTTTAACCCCTGCCTGCAGGTCACGCTGCACAACTTCAACAAGCCCATTTTGCCAGGGACTTCGGGGCAAGATAACTCATGAGTAGTCCCCTGCGCTTCCAGGAATTTCTCAAAATCCTCAGAAACAAATTCCCGCCCCTGTCAGAAAAAAGGTTCTTAATAGGTTTGTTAAAATGTGTTTTTACCCAGTTGCAAAAACTTTGTACTTCTCAAATGCTTGGGACTTCTCAGCTATTGCATAAGTCCAACAATATCTACTATACTGGTCTATCAGGGTAAGCCAGTACTTAGAACCTCCTAAGGATGGTGGGAGTGGCCCAACTAAATCACAATGTACACGCTCAAATGGCTCAGTTACTTTCCTATCTGAGCACCTACCCTTGCGTGCAACCTTAATCTTATTCTTGCAACAGGATAGACATTGCATAAAGAATTTACATGGTTTTAAGTTGAGGCCATTAACAATATTCTTGGTCTTAATTACATCAGCAAAATTCAGATGTCCCAGAATTCTGTGCGCCTCATGGACACACCCAGAATGTGGCCTTACATTCCTCAACCCCTGGCTTGACTGTGCTGCTCTGCAATTTATAGGCGATTGGGAGTAGGTGCGAAAATACAGTCTATATAAACCATCAGATTCCCGGGCATACAATAGACGTTTGTTCCCCTCGAAAAACTCACACATTGACTTTAAGAAACGCACAGTTATGCCTTGACGAGCAAAACACCTTACTGACAATAAATTGTCCACTGATGGGCAGTAAATGCAGTTCGCTATAGTAATGTTTAAAGAGTCAAGTTTAACAGTACCCCTGCCAAGCGACTGCAAGACTTGTGAATTGGCTAAATGTACATTACCAATTTCCTCTTCGAAAGAAATAAACAAGCTTCGATCGTTGCAAACGTGCTGAGATGCTCCTGAGTCCACAATAAAAGAATTCCACTTGGCACCTTTAATTCTTTTACGATCTCTTGTGCTAGCGTGAAAAGCTCGCGGCTCGTTTCTGTCTTTACGGTACGATGCCGGCTGCTGAGCTGACGACCGTGACTGACGAACAGAAACAGACTTGGGAGTACTTTGCTTTCTTTTGGATCTGCAGTCCTTTGCAAAATGTCCTTGCTTATTGCAGAACCAACAACGCTTTGCAGCTTTAAATGCAGTTGTATCACCACAAGTTTGCATATGGCGTTCCTCATTCTTTCTGGAAATAGGAGTGCTTATGGCACAAGCCTCCCTTCTGTCCAACTCGCCCATTAATCTTGCCGTTACCCCTTCCACAGTTAATTGTGCTGGTGGAACGGCAGATATCTGGCTAGCTATACCATCAAAGTCCTCATTAAGGGAACAAAGGATGATGAAAACATACTGAATATCAGGTATCTCCATGTCCCTTCGAATTAATTCGCCGCGTATTGCCTCCAGACGTCTCAAGTGTGCTGCCAAATCACCACCAGGCTGCAACTTCGTCTGGTACAACTGCTTGAAAACGTCAATGCAGACGCTGACTCTTTTCTAACATGCACTGCTGCAAGACTGTCCCACATTTCTTTGGCAGTTTTCTTATTTCTTATATAGACTACTTGCTGGTCGCTGACTGCCAAATTAATTATCGCCCTGGCTTTCGCATCTCCTTTCGACCAAGCATTAGTCACAGGGTCAGGAGGGTCATCAGTTACATAGGTCCATACTTCTCTAGAGGTCAAAAGCGCCTCCACCCGAAAAGACCATAAACTATAGTTCTCATCTGTCAGCTGTGGGAAGACCAGAGCCTTCTCAGCTTCAGGAACCCGGTCAACCATTCTGGAACTCTTCCAGACCCACAGAACTACGCTAACAGGAGAAGGAGTTTTCAAACCTTTCTCAGAGTCCAAAAATATGCAGTCATCCACTCAGCAGCTGGGCCCATAACCAAAGATGTTGGCTTTTTGCAGTATGGTAGCGCTGCAGAGAGCTTGCTGGGGAGACCATGCATTAAAAAGGGACTCAAAAATAATTTAAACAAGGTTTTAATAAGAAAAACAAAAACTCCTTTTACACTAAATACATTAACAAACAAACATGACCCAACCACCAACCCATCCCCCAGGGTAATGGGAGAGCTAGGTGCTGCTCCTTATATACTACACCCAATTGCCAACACAGCTTAATCAGTACAACTCGGCAGCACCTGCTATGTTTCACAGCTGTAAAGCTGGGTCTCGTTATCTTGCTCTGGCCCTTGCTTTGGCCCCTTAAAGACATACACATCGGGTGGAACAATGATGAACCTTTACATATTAAACCATTCAACATATACATGTGTGTGCATGCATGTGACTAAAGTGTTTGAAACACTTGTGGGCAGTGGAGTACTCACAAGGATTCATCTGGAACCCAAATTCTCTCTCTTTTTTTAAAAAAATGATATTTATTAAAATTTCAAAGAATACACGAATTACACAAAAACAAAAAGTAAAAATACAAGAAAATATAACAAAGAAATGAAAAATAAAAAGAAACATACAAAATAAGAACAGTTAAAAACACATTAATTTTCCATAGCATATCTTCCTTACACTTATTTCCCCGGACCTCCTCGTACCTCCCTTTTTTGTATTCCAGTTCAGTTTGTTAGTTCAGCAAATCCTTACCATTAAGCTTTTACCCATTTGTGAACCTTTTTTCGTATCTCTTAAAGCATTACAGCTGGAAACCACTTAGTTTCTATCCAACATCCTTCTAAGATTCATTAATTTTACAATATTTCTGTAAATAGTCTTTAAATTTCTTCCAGTTGGAACCCAAATTCTCAACCTGATCAAGGCAAAAACACTGGGCTTTAGGCAGGATTCGTCCAAGGGCTTGTGCTTGCAGAATGTGGCCTCCTGCTCCTCCTGCACACCCTCTGCACCAGTGAAACTTGCCAGGGGGTAGGTTGGGGGGCCCCCTGCAAAGTGTGCAGGGGGAAAGAGGAGGGATCATTTTGTCTGTTAGGTTCACTAACAGGAAAACTTAAGAATATATATGTGTGTGTGTGTGTGTGTGTGTGTGTGTGTACACATATATATCAAAAGTAATCACCTTGATCCAGCAACAGCACCCACCATCTTTAAGATTTGCCCTCCAGATGAAGCTTCTTTGTGCAAAAGAAAGAAAGAAAGAAAGAAAGAAAGAAAGAAAGAAAGAAGACAAACAGGTGCAATCTTGCAGATCTGGGATCCCACATGCAACACCACCTGATTGACCAAAGTTTCAGAAGCTGTGCATACTTTTGCCATGTGCATCTTTTGCCGAGAATGTTGCAGCTCATGGTGCAATGATGACATTGCTGTTGCAAGTCACAAGAAAAGAGTTACAAACAAAACGGTTTTACAAATGATGAGACCCTTTTGACCACAGGGCAATACGAAAGAACAGCTTTCCCAACATCTTAGTATGGGGGGGGGGGAGGAAGAGCCTTATTGGTTCAGCATGTAAGATATAAAATAGATATGGTAAAGGTTGTCCTAGGAAGCAATCCAAGCACATTATATACATCAAACACACTTATTCTATCCAATAGTTTTGAAAAGCATGCACCAAATAGGTGTGAAAAGCATGCACCAAGAAAGCAATATCTGATTGACAGGAGAAAACAAACAATGAATGTGTGGCAGGGGCATATTGGATTTACGTTGTTTGAGGCAATTTGCTTCTGAATACAAGTTACTGGGGAAAAAGCAATTGCTGTTGCCCTCAGGTCCTGCTTACAGGCTTCCATAGGCATCTGTAGGTACACTGTGAGAACAGGATGCTGGGACAGATAGGCCACAGGGACAATCCAACAGGCCTATTCTTATGTTCTTAATAAACCATATTTATTATGATGAAAGTATTGCCCCAGCATATTCTCCTCACTTTTCCTTGGAGATTCTATCTGAAGTTGCATATTCATTCTATTGAGAGCACAGTGGTATGCAAAGATCTTGCAAAACAACTGGTACTTTTCAAAAGAAGGAAAATGCAACCAGCATGCTCCAGAAATACAGATCAGATGAGTCTTTTTTACAGTTGTAAGGCAGTCTGTAAACATGAATTCTGCCTCATCTCCTTCCCAACCATCCCTGCACCTCTGTCCATCCCACATGCCTTTGCTTATTAGTCACCCATGAATAGTCCACACCAACATGGCATCTCCATCCAGCATACTAGCAGTGGTGTTGCAACGGGGGGTGGTGTTAGTTTCTGTTTGCCACTGAGCAGCTGCTTAGAGTCACAGGACTCTGTTTGCATTCCAGAGACCTTCCAGACTGTTGGAAGTCTCATGGGAGAAGGGAGACGGATGTGACGTACTGGTTTCTCTGTTTCCTTTGTTCCTTTGTTTCAGTTGGTCTCTGCTTTCACAGAGAGAGGATGTATATTTCTTTGCTGTCTGTGTAGTAAGAAATAAAGCATAGCGATGTAGCCATAAATCTCATCACTTCCGCATGCTGCTTTGATTCTCTGCGGAATCGGAACGTGCCTGGAAGCCTCATCAAAGGCTCAGGTCATTAATTATTCATCGGAGGTGATATTGAAGGCTCGGCCGGAAGATGAGCTTTATCAGCTTGGCCGAGTGGAGATTCTGACAGGCGGCTCGCCCTGGGTTCCACATCCGGGAGGGTGACAAGAAGGCCCCCTACAGGGTGCTTGCCCTGCCACCCCAGCCCGGGCAGGGTGGTGCGAGCAGCCATCGCACCGCCTCAGCCGCATGTGTACGGGCCAGCCGCAAACTGCTATGTACATCGCACATGCGCCCAATGTAGCGACACCCCGCCCTGGGTGTCACAACGCCTTCGTTCGCCCCTGCATACTAGCAGCTCTCTAGTCAATTTCCCTCTAGGTTTGTGTTTGTTTTAGATTATACCTCTTGACAGGGCTCTTCTTCTCAAAACCCTCTCCAGTTTTGAACAGTACAAATGGTATGTCCAGAGCCTGTAAATGTTGAGGTGTGTGCATATGAGCCCATGGGCAGAAGTGGAAACTAGTACAGTACATGGTAGCTGGAAGTGGGGCCTGTGGGTATGATCTCAATAGTTCCTCTATGCCTCCTTTTTTGATCCCATTTCAACATCTACACACAGCTACTTCATTTGTGGCATTGAAAATAAACACTTCTCAAGGAACCAAGTACCAAGTATCCAGCTCACTTTTTAAAGTGGAACAGTTGTGTGTGTTTTTTAATTAAAAAAGTTCCAAAAAAACAAAAAGCGGAGTTGTTGATTGGCATGAAGAATGGGGCTCTATTTACTTCTGAAGCAGTGAAATTATATCATTCATCTCTGGAAACCAAAGCAATGGATTGTTATAAAGTGAACTAAGAATGTTATTGTATTTTAGCTCATTTTTATTCAATTTCTTTCTGTGTTTAATATTTTATCTTTGCTACGTCTTATGGTTTAGAAAGTAAACTACCAAGCTGGTTACCAAATGTCTCTTGCATAATCCTGGATTGCGCACTGAAAGGAAAGTGTGAAAGTTGGTACAGGACACCACAGTCCTTTGTAATAATACATTTCCAAATGTAAAAAATTCTTGAAACTGGGAGATTTCATCATCAAGGCCACTGATACTTTTTTATATGCATGGGAGAGAGGTTAGATCTCACATGAGAAGCCTCTGCTGCTTGGAAGAGAACTAAGAGGTCAACAGATACAAACCCACCAACACAACCATGAAGCCAGGCAGCTTTTTCCTCCTCACTTTGATGGTCTTCTTTTTGTACTCAGGTGAGTCATATTTCATACTGTAAAGGTTCCCCTTCTGGAGAGATTTGCATTTTGAGGCTCCCATTATATGTTCCATCTCAGAAAGAAACATAATGATGCATGGTTGTTTTTGAGGTTGCTTCCTCGTGCTACTACTACTACTACTACTACTACTACTAATTTATTTATACCCCGCCCATCTGGCTGGGCTTCCCCAACCCCTCTGGGCGGCTTCCAACAAAATATTAAAATACAGTAATGCATCAAACATTAAAAGCTTCCCTAAACAGGGCTGCCTTCAGATATCTTCTAAAAGTCTGGTAGTTGTTGTTCTCTTTGTCATCTGGTGGGAGGGTGTTCCACAGGGCAGGTGCCACTACCGAGAAGGCCTTCTGCCTGGTTCCCTGTAACTTGGCTTCTCGCAGGGAGGGAACCGCCAGAAGGCCCTTGGCGCTGGACCTCAGTTTTCGGGTAGAACGATGGGGGTGGAGCCGCTCCTTCAGATATACTGGACCGAGGCCGTTTAGGGCTTTAAAGGTCAGCACCAACACTTTGAATTGTGCTCAGAAACGTACTGGGAGACAATGTAGGTCTTTCAAGACCGGTGTTATGTAGTCTTGGTGGCGGCTCCCAGTCACCAGTCTAGCTGCCGCATTCTGGATTAGTTGTAGTTTCCGGGTCACCTTCAAAGGTAGCCCCACATAGAGCACATTGCAGTAGTCCAAGCGAGAGATAACCAGAGCATGCACCACTTTGGCGAGACTGTCCGCGGGCAGGTAGGGTCTCAACCTGCGTACCAGATGGAGCTGGTAGACCGCTGCCCTGGACACAGAATTGATTTCAGGAAAGGTGCCTGAAATCCCTAAACACAGTATTCTCAGTCATACAAACAAATAATAAATACCGTATTTTCCCTTCTATAACACGCAGATTTTTTCTCCTAAAAAGTAAGGGGAAATGTCTATGCGTGTTATTGAGCGAATGTGTGGTCCCTGGAGCCGACTGGCCCGAGTGCATCACACATTTTCTTCGAGGGTCGTCTTCGTTGCGGTCAGCAGAAGCCAGGGAAGTGCTTGCTAGGAGGTTTGGCCACTCTGCAGCGTGACTGTGTGTTTGCTAGTGTGTGTGCTTTGTGAGTGTGTGGTTGCCTGTGTGTTTGTTCACTAGCGTGGGTGCTTGGAGGGAGTGAGAGAGTGACTGACTGCTGCATCTTCTCCTGCAATTTGCCTTTTAAAAAATTGGAAGCAGCGGGGCAGTAAAAACCACCTCCGAAAGCCCCATTTTTCCTTTCTAAGGCTGCAGCTCGGCTTTGGGAGCCCTGAACCCCTGCCTTGTTCTTGGGGGATCTTTGAGGTTTTCCCTTTAGCTTTAACCCAGCCCCCTTATTTTACCAGTTTATCTTCATTCTCGGTGTGGTAAACTGATTGCAGGCAGCCACACGTGCGTTCGAGCCTCCCAAGAGAGAAAGCTGTTGTTTTCCTGCATTCTGCCTCAGGGTCTTACTGCCCACCCTCTTCTGTTTCGTTACTGTGTTTGCTCAAACGGAACAAAGAGCAGAGAAAACCTCTCCCCTCCAGGCAAGCAGAGGGGAAAGCAGAGCGTCCTTCCTTCTAATTCCTCTCCGTGCTCCGATGCTGCTGCTGCTGCTGCTGCTGCATCTAGGGACTCGCAGGCAACATGCAGGTGGGGGGGGGGAGAGAGAGAGAGAGAGAGAGAGAGAGCTGGCTGGCTGGCTTGGGTGGGTGTGTGGGGGAACTTTTGCCTTCCTTTCCTCCCTCCGGTAAAACCCCTCTCCTGCATTCTTAGCCAGCTGCTTCTCCGCACACTCCTCTCGGTGCTCCTTGTCCCTTCTATGTTTTTCCTTCCCTCCCCACTTAAAATGTGGTTACAAAGCACAGATCCACATGGATCCTCAGGATCTTTGCATTGGGTCACCCCAAATTCACCATCAGATCACATAGCATGTCCATGGCTACAGCCTGCACCAAAAAAATCACGCACCCACTGTTGCCTGGGGCTGCAATGGTGCAAAAACGTGGTTACAAAGCATGGATCCACATGGATCCTCAGGATCTTTGCATAGGGTCACCCCAAATTCAACATCAGATCACATAGCATATCCATGGCTATAGCCTGTACCAAAAAAATCACGCACCCACTGTTGCCTGGGGCTGCAATGGTGCAAAAACGTGGTTACAAAGCACAGGTCCACATGGATTCTCAGGATCTTTGCATTGGGCTACCCCAAACTCACCGTCAAATCACATGTCTGTGGCCACAGCATGAAGCACAAAAATGATACATCCACTGTTTCATTCAGAATTTTTTTTCTTGTTTTCCTCCTCTAAAAACTATGTGCCTGTTATGGTCAGGTGCGTGTTATCGAGCAAAAAATACGGTAAATATGGATTGACTTTATAATGTTTATGTTCTTGGTGTTTTGGTTCTAGGTGCTGCCACTGAAGCAATAAATGAACGAATGAGTGCTAGTTATCTCTTTTTATGCTATTTCTCTTTAGTTATTTAGAGTTAAGCTTTGTGATACTGCAGTCCTCATGGATTTTTATTTTATTTTGATAAAGAGTTAAAAAATACAGGTAATGCACATACATAACACAAAGCAATCACTAAAAGAATAAAGACACATTGCATTGGTCACAGCTTTTAAAACAAAGGAAGTGTTTAAGCGACTTGTGTTCTACTCTGTTATAATTTTTGCAGGTGGAGCTCAAGGCAGTTAACAAATAATTGAATAATAATTGGAGTTAAAGTGTATTAGCTAAAACAGGCTTCCTCAGCCTCGGCCCTCCAGATGTTTAGAGACTACAATTCCCATCATCCCTGACCACTGGTCCTGCTAGCTAGGGATCATGTGAGTTGTAGGCCAAAAACATCTCGAGGGCAAAGGTTGAGGAAGTCTGAGCTAAAACATGAAATAAGATGCAAAGAAACTTACAAATGTCACATTGTTCACTATGGAATTCCCCTTGCAGTCTAAATGTCAAGGAGGGAATAATTCAACAGTGTCATTTACCGGTACTTTTTCTGCAGGAATATTGTCGTGGGTATCCCAAAGGAGCATGCACCAAGGAGTTTAATCCCCACTGTGGCTCTGATGGCATCACCTATGACAACAAGTGTATTTTCTGCAATGCATATATGTGAGTATACATTTCACTTATAAAGTACAAATTGAAAAGAGTGAGCAGAGCTACTTTGTAGGCAGCTCAAAATTAGTAAAATATTTGAAGGAAATGCTATAATTAATAAATCCCTCGTGTGGCAATAATACAGTTATTGCAAAGGTAATAATGACCTAATACAGGTGTTGCCCTACTTGTGGATTTTGGAAGTGTCAACTCAATTGAAAAAAAATGACATAAAATGACATTTTTAAAAGGAGAATATTTCACAAAGTGGTTTTGCAGCAAATATATACAGCAATAATTAACTTGCCTTATTTAGCTATCATGGTGCCAGGTGGGGGTGGTATTTCAGGTTAGTTCACATTTTAATGCAAAATTACCTAATTTACATTTCACAAACCAATACGCAAACGGAAACAAAGCTATCCTTTAAAATTCACGTCTGTAAATTTTGTGATGCAGGTTTCCAGCTTAAGAAAACTGCAAAAATGTGTAAATTGGGAAAACAATACAAAGTTTTGAGGGGGCAGGAGTTTGCACAAAAATGCTCTCAATTTTTATGAATGTCACAGATTGATTCAGTAACATGAGGCACTAGATTTAAGACTTCAGAAATAAGAAAATGAGAGAAACCCAAACTGACATATTGGTCCATCTCTACTCATCATTGTATTATTTCTGTTTACGGAGTAATGATGAAGCATGCATCTTTTGGATTATCTCACTGAGTTCCTGGTTTTGTCTTTCCTTCATCAGCGCAAGTGGAAGAGTACTGAGACTGAAGCACCTTGGAAAATGCTAAAGACTAAGGAACATCTATTGAGGGAAATGTCCCTTTCTCTTCATGCTGCACTCATACCATCACCACAAAGAAATATATTCTTCCTTCTGCTTATACTTTGCATTGCCAGCTAGTGAATATCTTGCAAGATCTTAATTTGATTAATCAGTAAATAAGCTAAGCAGCATTATAAGTCTTGTATTGTTCCCTTGGGACAAACATCTCTCAGTATATTTATTTATGTTCTGTTTGTTTAGCCTATTATCTAATTTTTTTAAAAAAATTAGCCCCCCACTTTTCAGCACCATGCAGAAAGGTAATATATTTATGGAATTTCAGGGACAATATAATATTTGGAAGTTTGTTAATAATTACACACACACACAAAGAGTAAAGCTAAATGCTCAGCTGAATTTACTCAACATGAACTATAACACTTCAGAGTGTTAGATTGCCTGTTGATATGATTTATGCTCATGCAAGCATACATGCATGCACATGTGCACACACACACACACACACACACACACACACACACACAAACACTACCTCCCTGCTGGTAGAAAGCCATCTCATTAGGGAGACATCTAGGGTAGACCCCTTCTCCCTAGTATTCATTGACCACCAATTCATTAGGGCGAATGGTGCCAACTTTAGCCTCCTTTCCCCTGTCTGGCTTCTTATTTACAACCATCCAGCAGATGGTTCCACTTGTGATTGGCTCCAGATCCATCAATTGTTGGTTTCCCTGTTTTCTGCCCCATCAGTTCCAATGGGAACCAGTTCCCACTGCTGGCATGCTGCTACACACCTATGAGCAAGAAGCATTCTTCATGGGAAGACACTGATGCTGATAGGCTTCCCCCTTTGAATGGGGGTTGGACTCAATCACATATAAAGTTGGGGCAGTAGTGTGTGTTCTTCTACCCTGTTCTGATTGGTGGATAACCCTCCAGGTGGACCTCACCCTGAGTCAACTTGGAACTGGGAGGGGTGAGAGTAAATGTGTCCCCCTGTGCTACTTGCAGGAACAACATTTTTAGAACAGTCTTTCCATGTGCACCAGGGAGACTATCCATCTTTTATTGCTAATATTACTGCCTATCATTGTGTAGCCAAAATGGCAGCACACATATGCAACCAGCAGATTTGGGGGCATCCTGAGTTTTTCGGACATACAGAACATCTGAGGTAAAGGGGAACCCCCTAAGGTGAAGACAAATGGCCTAAGCATCCCAGTGAGCAATGGAGGCTGGTCTATTTGGGAAAGCAGGGCACGGCCTCACCAACCTCAGTCTGCACTCACAGCCCCCATCTTCCCACCTTCTTACTTACAGTCAGCCCAGGGTTGTTATTATTATTATTTATTCAACTTATACAGCGCCCTATACCCAGAGGTCTCAGGGTGGTTCACAACAAGACCACAACATATAAAATCAAACCAAAAGCTATAACCCAATTAACCACCCCCCCCAAAAAACCACAGTCTGAAAGGGTGTTGGGTGTCAATAAGCTCAAACAAAGGCCTGTTTAAAAAGGAACATTTTTGCCTGGCGCCTAAAGGTGTCTAAATGAAGGGGTCAGGCGAACTTCCCTGGAGAGAGCATTCCATGGATGGGGAGCCACCGCAGAGAAGACAGCTGCTCACGCCGCCATAAGCCTCCGCGGGGTGACTTCTTGTCACCCCTGCAGGCACGGAACCGGGGTGTACCGCCCTCACCCCCACCCTGTTGCGACGCCACTGGTCTGAAATGCACACACTTCAGCTTAACCACAGGTTACTTTTCAAATCAGGTGGAAGCCTATTTCAAGAGAAAGAGCCTTATGTCTCAAGATATTACAGGATACATATGGATTGGACTAATGTCATGCATACTCAGCTTCACGCACCAGTCATGAAACATACTGGAGCCATAGTAAACAGTAATGTGTACACAGCCTCAATTTCCTGGACAGAGAGAGACTTTCTGAGGTCTCTCTAAGAGCTGTATGGAATTGGGAATATAGAACTTCCTGTTACGTTGGTCTCAAGTTTTCCAGGCCAAATTGCCCACCCCAGTGCTATGTCTACCTCATGCTAGGCCTCATCCTACTATCCCAAATACATCATCGTCTTGTTTCTCTGAAGAAACAGTCTCCCAAAAAGTATTTGTTCTATGTCTGTTGTCCACATTTGTTGTTCTCATTTGCCTGGCAGTAACTCCTGAATTATTGTTCTCAACATCCATGGCCGTGTGTTATCTCTTTCTCTCCCTCTCTGCTTTCCCCCACTTGCTCAAATCTCCTGACATGTATGCTACTGTGAGTGACACTTTCTCGGAAAGAATAGAATATTACACTGGACAAAAATGCTTTTCTTCCTGAGGTTAAAGCCCTAAACCCTACACAGACCCTCAAATATACATGAGCCGGGTATTGAAAGAGAGAACAACCAAAAAAGCAATACATTCCATGGCGCAAAACGAGACATTATAGGAGAGATCAGAACAATACATCGTTGCAGGTTAGAAATCTTTAATGGCAAAGCAGACCTTATTTTGCAACATTTGCTATTAGAGTATAAGGCAAAGAGGTCTCTTGGAAATCTGTCAAGTTCTCAGCACATTCCAAAATTTTGGAGCGACAGAGCCCCTTTGCTCTTCCTGGAAAGAAAAGGGTAACATATATTGAAATTATTATTGTGGATAACTAGAATCATAAAACAAAGTTATATAAGGTTTTGGGTTTTTTTTTAAGAACAGCTCTTAGTTTGAGAAATGCAATGACTTGCATTCCATCTTATCCCCTAGAACTGCTTCCCACTATGCAAAAAAGGAACATTTTGGTTCCTAATGTAAGCCACATTCACCACAGAAAATCAATCAGAATTCTGACTAGTAAAATCATCCCATTTAAATAAACACAACAGACATTGCAACTGGAACTGTCAATATGAGCAGCGTTGTTTCAGAATACCTTACTTCAGCAACATCTGCACTATGCAGAAGTGTACTGTGTTAAAGGTCCTGAGAAAACCCCTATTCCCTTCAGAGAGCTACAATTCCCAGTGAATTCCTTATTCCATGGAACTCTGGGAATTGTAGTTCTGTAAGGGGAATAGAGTTTCCTAACAACTCTCAGCTGCAAACAGCAGACTACACTTCCCAGGATTCCTTAGGAGAAACCACAGTTTAAAGTGGTATGGGTGATGTCATAGTTGCTTGACAGGAAAAAACTTCAAAGTACAGTGGTGCCTCGCAAGACGAAAAGAATCCGTTCTGGGAGTCTCTTCGTCTAGCGGTTTTTTCGTCTTGCGAAGCAAGCCCATTGATGGGATTAGCGGATTAGCGCTATTAGCGCTATTAGCGGCTTTTAGCGGCTTTTAGCAGCTTATCAGCTTATCGGATAAGCAGATAAGCGGCTTAGCGACTTAGAAAAAGAGGGGGGAAAGGAAAAAAAACAACCAGGAACTCGCAAGACATTTTCGTCTTGCGAAGCAAGCCCATAGCAGATTCGTTTTGCGAGGCACCTCCAAAACGGAAAACTCTTTCGTCTAGCGAGTTCTCCGTCTTGCGAGGCATTCGTCTTGCGGGGCACCACTGTATAGTCTGGATGGAAGCATGATTATGAGACCATATTTGTAACCCTTTCAACTGACAAAAGTGAATCAAGGAATCTGGATTTGTGACTATATCCCAGCTCTGGAGAATTCTTGGCATTGTTGTTACCGTTGTTGTTACCTTGGACATCTGAGTTGGTTACCCCAGCCCCTCTGGGAAGCTTCCAACAAAATGCAAAAACACAGTAAGGATATATGTAGGATGGCTTACTTCTCATCCTACCAAAACTTTCCCAGTGTCATCATAAGTAGATACGGAACAGCTTAGAGGTTTTGAATACAGTCATACCCTGGGTTACAGCCACTTCAGGTTGCCTTTTTTTGGGTTACAGACTGCTGAAACTCAGAAGTACCAGAACGGGTTACTTCGGGGTTTCGGCGGTCGCGCATGCACAGAAGCTCCAAATCACAACTCACGCGTGCGCAGACGCGGGTTGCGAATGCTGCGGGTTGCGAATGTGCATCCCACATGGATCACATTCACAACCTGAGCGGCACTGTATATCTTTCTCTTCTATCATGTTATCATCACTTTAGTTATTTTTCTATTAAAAAATAATTATTATTTCTGTACGTACAGGGCTTGAATGCAGAAATCACACTGGTTGCTATAGTTCTTTCCATCGGAACCGCAGTGAGGCATATAATTCAATGGGCACATGAGAGCATTTGGGCTAAAGTTCTTACAATAGTCCTGCAAAAAGAAAGGGATTCTTAATCTGTCATCTGTTAAATAAAACTAAGTTCCACTTTACAAAAGAAGTAGTGATGTACCCATCAAACTTTTACATTTGCTCACCAGTTCAACATAACTTCTTTTTTAAAGTGCAATTTGTATTCAGTTTTGTAAAGTCATACATATTTGCAACAAAGAAACAAAAACCAAAAAAATGAAGAAATAGGAAACACAACAGTCATAATTTCATATGCGTTATATTAACTCAAATAAATATTCTGGTTCAAATGAAGCATGCGCTTTGTTATTTCAGTATTCAATAAACTTTGCCCAATTCTGTCTAAACATACTAAGTTTATGCCTTCTTTCACTCTTGATACATTATAAAAAATTCCACAACTGCAAAAATGAAGGTGTTTTTGCTTCCAATTCTGTTAAGAGAGGGATTGATACCTGCCACTCCCAATATCTAGAATAACACAGTCATGCTGCTTACCTGAATCTGAATACATTGACCTCCATACTTCACAGCCACATTCTTGTTGGATTCCCTGGGTAAGAAAGAGAGAAAAGTTGACAAATTCTTTCCTGTAGTTCACATTATTAAAACAAACTATGTTTAGCTCTTCAGAACTGCTACAGACAAAGCTTGACTGAGCTGGCTCTACAATTTGTATCCTTGAGCTCCTTCATCTGTTGCAGATACTTTGTCCTCCTGCTACACAAAGTTATTGGGACTCCTATGATTCTGCTAAGGAGCCAGTTTCACTTTATTCACAGCATGTAGGCCTGGTTTCACATCCCTGATTAGCGTTGGTGGTTATTGGATTGCATTGCCCCAATCATCGTTTATCATTCTCTAGATAACCAATCATTGGACAGTGAGGTTGGTCTCATGTAAGCCACTATGGAAGCTTGGAAAGAAGGTAGGGTGGCAAAGGACCAAATACAATAAATATAATGAGATATCATTATAAAGAATGATAGTCATTGTCCGTTGCCTGGGGGGAAATGTTCAGTATCCACATTACTTACAGGTTTTGACGACAAAGATCACATTTACTGACATAAGTGTTGTCATCTGTTCCGCAGACTGGTTTAGCCATTTTGGAGCAGAGCATGAGTCCTTTCGCTTGCCTGAATTCACTGCAATCCATCTATAAAATAAACATGTAGCATTTTATTGTACCCAGCAATCTTCCATATAATTACCCCTGACATTCATTTTTCCAGTTTTGTTTTGTTTTTTTAAATTCTAAACATGGAAAAAGAAGCTATTTAGCTGTATTTTCTTCTCTGTATAAAGGCGGCTTGTGGTTGTCCCTAGAATCATAGGGGCAGGGGTTTTGGGGGGCAGGGGAAATCCAGGGCTAGAGCATCCTCAACCTGTCTGGCTTCTTCTTGAAGGCCTCCAGCCTTCCAGCCTTCTCAGTAATTCATTCATTGTTGCGCTGACATTACCATCAAGTAGTTTCTTCCAATTTCCCACTAAAACCTATCTAACTATAACTTGAGCATATTCAGTCTAGTTCTGCCCTAGTTCTCTGGGGCAGCAAATTGTAAATGAGGATTGATTATTCCCAGAAGCTAATAGCCCTTTATTCTCAGGCCCATTTCAAGGTGCTGGTTTTAACCTATGAAGACTTATATAGCTCAGGGCCCTAATATGGTACACATTATGGAACATCTTTCCCCATATTAGCCTGCCCATGCCCTGAGGTCAGCATCAAGACTCTTCTCTATGTGCCCCTCTGGCAGCTATCAGGAAGAGGGTGGCAACAGGGGTAAAACTAGGCTTTATTTCTCCCAGGTCAAAGACCCAGTTTGGCCAAAACAAACCCCAACCCCCCCCCCCCAAAAAAACCATGCACATTTTGCACACCCACAGGCTGGGAGCCTCAGTGCTGCTCCTCTGGGGGCTTCACCCAGGGCAAAAAAAAATGGCTCCTGTCAGGGAACTGCCATCGGAAGGAAGGGAGGTGAAAGGACTCAGACAGGTTGGAAGAGACTCAGCAGCTGAAGAGGGAACCAGCAAGGGGAGAGAAGCTGAACTGAGGGAGGTGAAAGGGCTCAGACCGGTGGGTAGAGCCTCAGCAGCTGAAGAGGAAACCAGCAGGGGAGAGAAGCTGAACTGAGGGAAAGGGAGCTGGGGGATGGCTCAGAGATACTTCCAGCGAAAACAGTGGTGAGGTTTCCGGACCTCCTGTAGGGACACCCACTCCTCGCCGGAAACTGTCACGCAGAGAGTCCAGAAGACGTGTTTCCGTTAAGGAGCTTTTATGTTGGAAGCGATTACGAAAGCAACCACTGTCGGAATCTTCTAGTGACTAGAGGAGCCATGTCAGAGGCCCTCCGTCACAGACAGAGGTTTGTGGACTTGAACAAACACTGAGGGAATACGATTTTACGCACAAGCAGCTCATCTTCCCATCACAGCATTCCGACAGTCTTTGAACGCAGCTTGTGCAGGAGAAGGCATAATGAGCAACCCAGCAGGAACCGGAGAAGCAGGGGCTGGAGCGGGTCCAAGCCTGGAAGAAAGGTACCGGGTGTTGGAGGTCCAGCTGGCGCTGCAGACGGCGAGGCTGGAGGAGAGGAGGGCTCAAGATGCAGACAAAGGGAGAAAGCCACCCAGCTCGCCAGAAAGGTACCAGGATTGGTGCAGAAATTTGGGGGGGAGCCCAAAGACTATCATAGCTTTCGGACAGAAATGCAATATGCCCTCAATCTGCAGTTTGATGATTTCCCTGATGAGGAATCACGAGTGGCTTTTGTGATTGGGCATCTTGAAAAGGGCGAGAGACTGGGTTAGACCCCTGATGGCAGCGCATAGTGACGTCCTAAAGGACACGATGAAGTTCTTTCGCGCCATGGATCTGATGTTTTCCAGCGATATTGAAAAGGGAGTGGTGCGCAGACAGTTAATGGCTTGCAAACAGGGGAGCCGATCTGTACGTGAGTACTGGACTGAGTTCACCATGCTGATACACAGATTGGGGTGGGACTTATCGGCGGAACCCATTCAAATGCTCTTTGAAGAAGGGCTTTCTTCGGCTGTGAAAGATGAACTTTCCCGGGCGCCCAGGGCGGAGTCTATGGACCAGCTGACCAAATCAGCGCTGGCCCTAGGAGGGCGCCAGGAGGCGAGAGCTTTGGAGAGGCGGGAAGGGAAGGGGAACGTTGGAAGGAGTTCCGCATTCCAGACATTCCAGAGCCAACTTTCCCGCCGGCAGAGCCGATGGAAATCGGAACAGCGCGCGCGCGCGCAGTTTCAAAGCCCAGTGAGGGGGGAAAAAAAGGAGGGAAAAGGCGCCCGGAAATGCTATCTCTGCCAACAGCCAGGGCACTTTGCCAGAGTCTGCCCCCAGAGGAAGGAATGGCAAGGGATGGTGGGAGCTGTGGAGGGAAGAGAGGAAAAATACCGGAGCAACTAAAAGCCAACGCCTGGCTGCCATTGTCGGGGCACAGCAGCCAGGCCAAAGAGCAGTGAAAGTGCCCACGCCAGAACCTCCTAAACCCGCCCTAGTGATAGAAGTGACACTAGAGCTGCCAAACGGACACCCTCTAAAGATAAAGGCGCTGTTGGACTCAGGCAGCTCCTGCAATTTCATGAGCAAAGAGTTTGCAGCTGAACACCAGATACAGACGCTCCCTTTAAGCAACCCCCTGCAGGTAACCACGATCGATGGCAGGGAGCTGTTGGGAGGAGAAGTCAGCTTGCAGACCGTCCCAATGATAATGAAGGTGGCAAGGCACACCGAACTAATAGCGTTTAATGTGGCCACCTTGGGAGGAGCTCCCATTATATTGGGGATGAGCTGGCTAGCGTTACATGATCCGCTGGTGGGCTGGCATCAAAGAGTGGTTTCTTTTGGGTCAGCACATTGCTTAGAACACTGCAAAGAGGGAAGGTTTTGGCAGGGGCCCAAGCCACCCTAGCAGGGACTGAAGTAACGGAGAACGTGAAGGTACCACGACAATACGCAGATCTCCGCGACGTCTTCAGCGAAAGGGAAGCTGACCAACTACCACCGCATAGAGCCTTTGACTGTCAAATCAATTTGCTCCCTGGGGCACAGCTCCCTGTGGGCAAGCTGTACGCCATGTCAGACAGAGAGATGCAGGAGCTAAGAGAGTTCATTGACAAGAACCTGAAGAGAGGGTTCATCAGAGAGTCCAGGGCGGTGGGGGCAGCCCAGTGTTTTTGTGGACAAAAAAACACGAACAAGCCGAGACTGGTGTGTGACTTCAGGGCCTTAAATGCAGTGTCAGAACCAGTGGCCTTCCCGATGCCCAGGATTGACGACATTTTGACAAGGGTGCGGAAGGGAAAGATTTTCACCAAGCTGGATCTAAGGGGGGCGTACAACCTGATACGAATAAGGAAGGGGGATGAATGGAAAACCACCATGTTCACCCCTTTAGGGGCATTTGAATACTTAGTTATGCCCTTCGGTCTACAAGCAGGCTCCGCAACATTTCAATCGTTTATGAACCACGTCCTGGGGCCGTTGCTTTACAAGAATTGTGTGGCCTTCTTAGACGACGTGTTGGTGTATTCTGAGAATGAGGAGCAGCATGTGAGAGACGTCAGAGAAGTGTTGAGCAGGCTGCAAGCCAACCAGCTGTGGGTGAAACTGGAGAAGTGTCAGTTTCATACCAAGGAGGTGGAATTCCTGGGGTATCGCCTGTCTGACAAGGGGTTGGCCATGGATCCCGGCAAGGTCCAGGCGGTACTGGAATGGAAAACACCCAAAACAAGGAAGGATGTGCAGAGGTTTTAGGATTTGGGAACTTCTATCGTAAGTTCATCCCAAACTTTGCCCACCTGACGGCGCCCATTACGGACTGTCTCAGCAGTAAGAAGAAGTTCGTTTGGACGGAGGAGGCGGAGCAAGCATTTGAGGAACTAAAAGGGCCTTCGCCTCGGAACAACAGCTCCTGCATGTGGATTTACAAAAACCGATGAGAGTGGAAACTGACGCATCAGACAGAGCGGTTGGGGCGGTGCTTCTCCAGCCAGGGAAGGAGGAGTCAGAGTGGAGACCGTGTGCTTTTTTTCGCGAAAGCTGAACAAATCCGAGAGGAACTACACGGTGTATGACCGAGAACTACTAGCCATTCATGAGGCGTTCCGGAGATGGAGGCACCTGCTAATTGGCGCACAACATAAGGTGCAAGTGTGCACTGACCACAAGAACCTAGAGTATTGGAGGACGGCACGAGTGCTCAACCAACGGCAAGTGAGGTGGGCCCAGGAATTCTCCAAATTTAACTTTGAGATTTGTTACGTGCCAGGCCCAGAGAACATTAGGGCGGACGCTCTCTCACGCAAACCTGAATATTTGGAGGGAGGGAGCACCCGAAGAGAGACATGTCATTCCAGAGGACCGCTGGGTGTGTGGGGCGGCATTGGTGGGACAAAGAGAACTGGTAGAAGAAACAGAGAATGATGAATACGCCCAGAATAAGCTCAGAGGTCTTAGGGATGAGGGAGAGGAATCAAGGGGTTTCGAGGAAAGAAATGGAGCTTTGTATTACAAAGGGGCACTGTATATCCCTGAAGGAGACTTAAGGGGAGGGTACTCAAGCAGTTGCATGACAGCCCACGGCGGGGCATTTTGGGCAACACAAAACCATGTGGTTGGTCACCAGGGAATTTTGGTGGCCTAAGGTGAGGGGGATGTACGTGAGTATGTAAGAGGGTGCGAGCAGTGCCAGCGAGCCAAAGGGGAAAGGCGGGCGCCGGCGGGGCTATTAGAACCCTTACCAACACCAGAACGACCTTGGGAGGCAGTGTCGATAGATTTTATGACTGATCTGCCGAAGTCCAAAGGGAAAACAGCCATCATGGTGGTGGTAGACCTACTAACAAAGATGTGCCACTTTGTAGCTTGCTCGCATGCAGTCACGGCGGAAGAGACAGCGAAGTTATTTGTAGAACACATTTTTAGGTTGCACGGGGTGCCATTGAGGGTGGTCTCAGACCGAGGAAAACAATTTACTTCCAGGTTCTGGAGGAAGCTCATGAGCTTACTGCAGGTGGAGGTCAACTTTTCGACTGCCCGGCACCCTGAAACCAACGGGCAGGCGGAAAGAGCAAACGGTGTCCTCCAGCAATACCTGAGGTGTTATGTCAATGACAGAGAGAATGACTGGGTAGAAAAGTTGGCGCTGGCGGAATTTGCCTACAACAATGCCGAGAATGTGTCCACAGGGATGAGCCCCTTCTTGGCTAATTATGGGTGTCATCCCAGGGCTTTCCCAGTGGTAGAAGGGGAGAGATGGAGCGTACCGGCAGCCGAGCATTTTGTAGAAGAAATGGAAGCAATCCACCGTCAGCTCCAACTCAACTTAGAAAGGGCGAAGGAAGAATACAAGAGGCAGGCAGACAAGAACCGAAGGGAAGGTGAAACCATAAGGGTTGGAGATAGGGTGTGGCTGTCAACCCGAGGGTTGCCGTTCAAAGGAGGTTGTAAGAAATTAAGACCCAGGAGGTTGGGTCCCTTTGAGGTCATTCAACAGGTCAACCCAGTGGCTTTCAGGCTCCGGTTACCCAACCACATGAAACTGCACCCAGTATTTCACAGGTCGTTACTGTCACCGTACGAGGGGACGAGAGGGATGGCCACTCGGGGACCGGTCATAGAAGAAAGAGAATGCAGCAGTCATGTGGCAGAAATCCTTGATGCCAGGTGGAAGGGGAATCAGGTGGAGTATTTGGTAGCGTGGGAAGGAGAACCGGAGTCAGAAAACACGTGGGTAATGGCCGAAGATATCAATGACGAGGTATTGATAGAAACGTTCCATCAAAGGTCCCGAGGAAACCTCAGCCTGTGGAGAGGTTCCGGAGGGAATACTTTGGGACCACTGAGGAGGAGGAGGAGTTGGAAGGATTCCCAGAATCGGAAGGGGAAGGGAGATGGACTCGGAGGAGGAGGAGTGCTTCGAGACCAGGAACCGCAACAGGTGGAGAGAAGTGTTCGAGACATCGGAAGATGAAGGAAGTTCATTCCGGGGTTTTGCCTCCTCACCGCCCGTAGAGGAGGGGCGAGAGGGGGTGAAGGGGGCCCTGGAGGGGAGGTGGATGTCAGGGAACTGCCATCGGAAGGAAGGGAGGTGAAAGGACTCAGACAGGTTGGAAGAGACTCAGCAGCTGAAGAGGGAACCAGCAAGGGAGAGAAGCTGAACTGAGGGAGGTGAAAGGGCTCAGACAGGTTGGAAGAGACTCAGCAGCTGAAGAGGAAACCAGCAGGGGAGAGAAGCTGAACTGAGGGAAAGGGAGCTGGGGGATGGCTCAGAGATACTTCCAGCGAAAACAGTGGTGAGGTTTCCGGACCTCCTGTAGGGACACCCACTCCTCGCCGGAAACTGTCACGCAGAGAGTCCAGAAGACGTGTTTCCGTTAAGGAGCTTTTATGTTGGAAGCGATTACGAAAGCAACCACTGTCGGAATCTTCTAGTGACTAGAGGAGCCATGTCAGAGGGGCTCCGTCACAGACAGAGGTTTGTGGACTTGAACAAACACTGAGGGAATACGATTTTACGCACAAGCAGCTCATCTTCCCATCACAGCTCCCCACACAAACACCGTAGCTATGGCTCTGGGTGGCAACAAGGGAGGCTCATGTTGCACAAGTACATTTCCTTTCCTCAACGTGTTTGGAGTGTTGTTTTTCTTTGCAGACGGGTGTGTGTGTGTGTGTCTGTTTCTGTCTTTGGTGGTTAAGGACTGGAGGGGTTGTCTTTATAGTCTGATTACCTTGTACAGTGGCACCTCAGTTTTTGAATGTCTCCAGTGACGAACGTTTTGGTTTTCGAATGCTGAAAACCTGGAAGTAAATGCTTCCGTTTCTGAACGTGCCTCAGAAGTCGAACAGCTTGCACTGAGGTACCATGTATTTTTCTCAATTTTCTCTATTAAATTTGGAGACCGCCTCGGTTTTTGAACATTTCGAAACTCGAACTGTCTTCAGGAATGGATAACATTCGAAAAAGAGGTACCACTGTACCAGGAGTTGCTTTTAATTATTTCGTTTTGATATGTATTATATTTTGCAGTTATCTATAGATTATTTTGAGATGAAAAGTGATTCATAAGCTTAAGACATTTCAATTCCCTCCAAATCACACGACAATTTAGCCCGTTTGGTTCTGCAGGTTCAATTTCTCACCACAAAACTCTTTATACCTACCTTTGGACATTCTCCAACATGCTTCTTACCAACAAGTTTGTTTTTTTCCCTGAATAAGAGAAGAATTTAGGGAACGTTAGCAATCAATTTCCTGTATTCTGGGCTAATAATACTAATAATAAACATTGGTTGGCACTAATAGACCTTGCAAGTCACAGGCAAATGCCCCATTGAGCTAGTTCTGCTATGTACCCTGCTGACAGTCAAAGCGATGAAGTAAAATATATGTGGCATATGGATGGATGAATCCAGTGCTTTCTTCTTCAGTTCTTCATCTTTCCAGTCTTATGCTTAATTCACCCCATTTCCACATCTGTTTGAGTTTTTAAAAAACTAACTAAATAAAAAATCTTATGGAATTCCTTTTTGCATGCATTTTATCCTAATACATTTTTGTATGCCATGTTGCCCAATGTGCATTTGTATATGTTATTTTTAGCAATATTCATATTTTATGTACATTATTTTCAATATACAGATTTTTGAATAATTATTTTCAATATACAGTTTTGAACAATATCTGTGTTTTGGATCACATATTTTGGGGGGATGTACAAATTAGCTGGAAGTACATTAAAATATGAACTGAATTGCAGAGAGTAGAGAGTAAGTTTAATGTCATGTTGTAAGCACCCTGGATTTACACAGAGATCACTGAGGACTGAAGCCTAGCTGGTTACCTTGGCCCAGAAATAATCTCTCAGTCTCTGGCTAACCACAGGGGAATAGTGGTAAAATGGGAATGGTCCCATGTAAGACATGTCCCCATCTTGGAAGTGGGGTGGGATGGGAAAGGGACAGATAAAACAAATTGGATGAGACATCATTATAACTAATTGTAGCCACGGTCTGTTGCCCAGCAAAGAATCTTCTGCATCTGCGCTTCTTACTGGTTATGGCGACACAGTTCACATTCATTGGCATAAGTGTTGCCATCTGTACCACAGACTGGAAAATAAATCCTTGTGCAGCTTATTGGTCCGTTACCAGTTGCCTGGAGGTGTTGGCTGCAATCCAACTATAAAAAGAAAACAACAACAAACATTATATGTCTACACAACGGTTTTCCTTTATATAACTTTTCAATGCTTTCATCCTTTAAAGTTTATAACCAATACACAGGAGAAAAGAGGGTACCTTATGAATCTACCTTTCCTTTTTACATTCCCCATTATTCACAAGGAAGAAGCATGCAGAAGACTGAACCAAGGAAAAATTGTTGAATAAATTTCTCAAGTGTGGACTTGCCTAGGGCATCATTGGACAAAAGGCACAATATAAAAACTGAAACTTGGAATATATAGAATAGCCAGACAATTCTGTGGTGGAATCTAGACACATGTTTAAAAAAACGCAGTGAAAATGCTTTTTAAAAAAAATGTTTTGAAAAATATATTGAATTTGCCATAACTCACCATCACCATCTAGTATCACATTTGCATAATGCACTTTACAACACACTTAAAACGTTTTGTTGGCAGCTGTATAGCCGAGTCCTGTGTGTAAATAAAATGTCTTCCCTGTTCCAAAAGCAGTGTGAATGGGGGAAAGCAATGGATTGGTCTTGCTAGTGCATTTGAAGAAGAAGAAGAAGAAGAAGAAGAAGGAGAAGGAGAAGAAGAAGAAGAAGAGTAGTTTGGATTTGATATCCCGCCTTTCACTCCCCTTCAGGAGTCTCAAAGCGGCTAACATTCTCCTTTCCCTTCCTCCCCCACAACAAACACTCTGTGAGGTGAGTGGGGCTGAGAGACTTCAAAGAAGTGTGACTGGCCCAAGGTCACCCAGCAGCTACATGTGGAGGAGCTGAGACGCGAACCCTGTTCCCCAGATTACGAGACAACCGCTCTTAACCACTACACCACACTGGCTTCCTCCTGCCCTTCCCCAACCCCAGCAATCACAAAAATGAAGCATTATTCAAAGAGAAGGTCTCACATCCCACTGAAATGAGTGGTCATATCGCTGCTAATAACTGTGCTCTTCCACAGCTCTCCTTCACTATAATTGCACTGGAGAACTGCTGTGTGTGTGTTTATGTGTCTGCTTTGTTGTTGACAAGGAGCAGTGAGAACACCATCATTTCCCACTTACACTTGAGGAACACAATTCAAATTCTTCTCCATCTGCCAACTTGCAATTACAGTTTTATCTGTATTACACAACCAACTGCAGAAGCTGTAAGGATAATACGGCATTACTCACCGTGTTTGCCTGAATGTCTTCGTCCCCGAAGACTCCTGAAAGGAGACCAAAAACACATGGATGCCATATCTGAGCTCTCAAAAATTCAGAAGGAAATCTCTAAAGAGATTAAGAGCTGCACAATGGCTTCAAAAGGTCATAAACAGATGGGAGAATGATCAGCAGTTGGTATACTGAGCGCCAGCCATTTCATATGATTATAAATGTGTGCCTCTAATCAGGTCTATAATATTTTTCCTGTTCTGGGGATGGGTAGATTTGTCCATGTTGCTTCTATTAAGAAGTGTGAATTAAGTAGGCGCACATCAAAATGCAAACCAAACCAAACCTCTCTTCCATCCTTACTTATGGCCATACCTAGGGGATCACAGGACTGGGTCCCAGTACTTTTTATGGATTTGTAAGTAAGGGAATTTCAGTGGGACAGCTTAGCTTTCTTCTACCCTTTCATGGCAGGCTGCACCTGCCAAAATTCCCTCTTAAACTAAATATTTTCTTCCATATCAGGCCAGTCATCTGAGCAATATAGAAGACTTTTTCAGAATGTCAGCAGTAATACTCTCTCTCTGTCTCTCTCTGTCTCTCTCTCACTCTTTCTGCGTGACTCACCTGTGAAGCACCAAAGTCCCAGAGCAACAACCACAAATGCACCCATTCTTCACTGAGCAATGAATGCACCAATGTTCAGATGAGAAGATTGTCTTGTAGAGCAACTTTACCAGCAGGATATCAGATGGACACGTGCAAGCACCTCTATATATATGCACAGGAGTTTACTTTAGATTTCTTCATTGTGAAAGACTTGGCACTCTAAGGACAGTTTCATAACATAAGGAGTTGACAGTCTGGGGGGATTCTTTCCACACCCAAAGGATCAGGACAAGATGAAGGCAGAAGGTAGAATGGTCTTCTCACCTAATTTACTGTTCATATTTGCTTTTCCTGCCACCAAGATGAGATGTACAGTTCCTTTATTTACTTTATCTTTTAAGAGAAAAGCAGCTGGAGAGGGGCATTTGTTCTGAAGCCATTCATAAGTCTTTTCCCAATGAAATGAAATCTTCTGGGAGCAGGGAGAATTCACTGTTAGAAAAATGGTTTCTGAGGTAAACTTTTCTCTTTATCAGTGCAATGAGCACAACAGTGATAAGAACATATTGTCTAATCCTATTACAATCTTGGTTGCCAGGGCTGCTGATGTCTCCTCTCCTGCCCAAAGTTCAGCAAAGTATTACAGCTGACTAGAGGTTTTTATAAGGAGAAAGAAGAAAATTGTAATCGATGGTTAAAAGAACCAGGCTTTTGGTAAGAACTCATTGCTCAGTTGTTGAAGGAATCCAGCTATGAATGAGTATCCAAGGGTTGTATTCACACAAGGATTTCCATGTGATCTATGGAACTTTCTCTCACCTTCCTCTTCCTCTGTGCCCCTCCAAAATCATCACTGGAAGGTGGGTTGAAACACAGAAAAAAGATTTTTGGATTTGGAGGGAATGGGAAAGGAGAGGAAATCCCGCAAACAGAAGTACTTGAGCTAATGGGACCACTTTGTTGGATACAACTCAGTCTCAATGATGGGCCATAGCTCCCTCATAGCAGAGGACTTGTTTTGAATGCCAGAGGTCCCCATTTCAATTCATGACATCTCCAGGTAGGAAAAGACTCTAGATTTAAACACACAAGAGGCATTGCCACACAAAGAGCACAGTACTGAGCTAGATGGACCAGCAGTCTGACTGGATAAGGGAGCTTCCTAGCAAACGCAAGTAAGTGCTGCTTTTGTGAGGGAAAGACATTTTTCAAGCACTCAAAATGCATAGTAACACAGGAAGCTGCCTTACGCTCAGGGCCGGCCCACCCATGAGGCGAGCTGAGGTAGCTGCCTTGGGTGCAGGAATCCTAAACAGTGGTGCTGCTAGTGGTGAAATGATGGCAATATGTCACAGATATCTCATGAGATCTCATGGAGCGCACTGTGAGATGTCCACAGCAGTTTTGGGACCACAGTACGAGAGGCTTTGGTGAGGATGGCACTGCGGCGGCAGGGCAGTGTGACACCTTCCCACTTCGCCTCAGGTAGCAAAACCAGTCCACAGAGGGTCCATAGCCTGTCAACTTTCTCCTCCTTAGGCTCAGTGTCGCCCTTTTAGAACTCAGCAGGAAGGATCAGTGGACCAGACTTAGCTGGCTTTAGCTGTCATTGGCTCTTCCTCTGCCTACTGCTGGTCTTCCTGTCTTCCGCCAAACACATTTGCCCCTTCTCCTCTGCAAAGCTACACCACTGCAGCAAAACTAACCCTTGCTCTTTCACATGTGGCTATCCTGAAAAGGCAAAGAGGCATGTGGTTTCACTCATTGTTCTCTGGGTCTACCTACCATTTCATCAATAGGACTTCAGTGAGTAGAAGCACCTGCCAGAGGCCTGATATAAAAAATACACTGAACCCACCATAGTGACCAAAGCTAGTTTTCTCATGTGAAGGAGCAGGAGAAAGGATAAGGAAATGTTGGAACTACGGAAGTGAGTGGCAGCTGGAAAGAAGGTGTCTGACAATAGTGGTTTGTTTGAGAATGTGTGAGAAAAAGGATTTGATATTTATGCTGATTGATTCTGGAAGCTGTTATGTTTTCTTTCAACTAAAAAAGTACAGTTGCTCTAAGGATGCAGAAGCAGCCCTACCTGAAATACAAGGGAATTACACAGCATATACAATGATGGGAAAATGGAGAGGAAACATATCTGAACTAACGGGTCAGAGTGCCAATTCTCCAGTGCCAAACAAAATAATATGATGCAAAGAAGCTTACAAATGTCACATTGGTCACTATGGAATTCCCGTTGCAGTCGAAATGTCAAGGAGCGAATAATTCAACAGTGTCATTTACTTTTTCTGCAGGAATATTGTCGTGGGTATCCCAAAGGAGCATGCACTAAGGAGCTTAATCCCCATTGTGGCTCTGATGGCATCACCTATGACAACAAGTGTATTTTCTGCAATGCATATATGTGAGTATAAAGGTAAAGGTAAAGGGACCCCTGACCATTAGGTCCAGTCGTGACCGACTCTGGGGTTGCGACGCTCATCTTGCTTTACTGGCTGAGGGAGCCGGCGTACAGCTTCCGGGTCATGTGGCCAGCATGACTAAGCCGCTTCTGGAGAACCAGAGCAGCACATGGAAAAGCTATTTACCTTCCCGCCGGAGCGGTACCTATTTATCTACTTGCACTTTGACGTGCTTTCAAACTGCTAGATTGGCAGGAGCAGGGACCGAGCAACGGGAGCTCACCCCGTCGCGGGGATTTGAATCACCGACCTTCTGATCGGCAAGTCCTAGGCTCTGTGGTTTAACCCTCAGCGCCACCCGCGTCCCATATGTGAGTATACATTTCACTTATAAAGTACAAATTTTGCATTAAAATGTGAACTAACCTGAAATCCCACCCGCACCTGGCACCGTGGTAGGTGAATAAGGCAAGTTAATTACTGTATATCTTTGCTGCAGCACCACTTTGTAAAATATTCTCCTTTTAAAAATGTCATTTTATGTCAGGTTTTTTTTGTTTAAGGTGAGTTGAGACTTAGCAATTCCAAAATCCACATCAGGGCCACACCTGTATTAGGTCATTATTACCTTTGCAATAACTGTATTATTGCCCCACCAGGGATTTATTTATTTTTCTTATGGGCCAATATGTCTACAGTTAATATCTGTGAAAATGGAAGAAGGATTCATTGTAGCATTTCTTTCAAATATTTTACTAATTCTGGGCTGCCTACAAAGTAGCTGTGCTCACCTTTTCAATTTGTACTTTATAGTACTTTACTATTTCAATTTGTACTTTATAGTACAAATCCCTGCTTTTAATAGTATATATTAACGGTAGAAATATTGGCCCATAAGAAAAAATAAATAAATCCCTAATGTGGATTTTGGAATTGCTAAGTCTCAACTCAACTTAAACAAAAAAAATCTGACATAAAATGACATTTTAAAAAGGAGAATATTTTACAAAGTGGTGCTGCAGCAAAGATATACAGCAATAATTAACTTGCCTCATTCACCTATCATGGTGCCAGGTGGGGGCAGGATTTCAGATTAGTTCACATTTTAATGCAAAATTACCTAATTCACACTTCACAAACCAATACACAAACTGAAACAAAGCTATCCTTCAAATTCCACGTCTTTAACTTTTGTGATGCAGTTTTGCAGCTTTAAAAAACTGTGCAAAAATGTTTATATTAGAAAAACAATACAATCAAAGTTGGGGGGGAGTGTGCACAAAAATGTTGGCATTTTTTAATGAAAATGACAGACTGATTAAGTAATATGAGGCACTAGATTTAAGACTGCAGAAATAAGAAAATGACAGAAACCCAAACTGACATATTGATCCATCTCTACTCATCATTGTATTATTTCTGTTTATGGAGTAATGATGAAGCATGCATCTTTTGGATTATTTCACTGAGTTCCTGGTTTTGTTTTTCCTTCATCGGCGCAAGTGGAAGAGTACTGAGACTGAAGCACCTTGGAAAATGCTAAAGACTAAGGAACATCTATGGAGGGAAATGTCCCTTGCTCTTTATGCCTCACTCATACCATCACCACAAAGAAATATATTCTTCCTTCTGCTTATACTCTGCTCTGCCAGCTAGTGAATATCTTGCAAGATCTTAATTTGATTAATCAATAAATAAGCTAAGCAGCATTATCAGCCTTGTATTATTCTCTTGAGAATAACATCTCTCAGTATATTTATTTATGTTCTGCTTGTTTAACCTATTATCTATTTTTTTAAAAATTAACCCCCCACTTTTCAGCACCACACAGAAAAGTAATATATTTATGTAATTTGGGGGACAATATAATATTTGGAAGTTTGTTAATAATTACACACCGAGAGAAGGAGTAAAGCTAAACACTCAGCAGAATTTACTCAAGATAAATTTACTTCAGACTTAGATTGCCTGTCAATATGATTTGCACTCATGCATGCATGCATATATGCACACACACACACACACACACACACACACACACACACACACACACACACACACACACACACTCAACATCCCTGCTTGTAGAAAGCCAGCTCATTAGGGAGACATCTAAGGTAGACCCCTTCTAGTATGCACTGACCACTGATTCATTAGGGCAAATGGAGCCAACTTCAGCCTCCTTCCCCTGACTGGCTTCTTACTTACAACCACCCAGCAGATGTGATTGGCTCCAAATCCATCAATTGTTGGTTTCCCTGTTTTCTGCTCTACCAGTCCCAATGGGCACCAGTTCCTACTGCTGGCCTGCTACCTATGAGCAGGAAGCATTCTTCATGAGAAGACACTGATGATGGTAGGCTTTCCCCTTTGAATGGGGTTGGACCCAATCACATATAAAGTTGGGACAGTATAGTGTGTTTGTGTCTAATTTTAAGAGACCACACAGATAGAACCCATTCACACACACACATATTTGTTTAGCACACAAAATCTTCCCCCTCATGTTACTGTTGGATTAGGAAACCTTCAGATTTGGATGTAGGTGTTTAAAAACTATCCACATCAGCACAGGAGATTGCTATCAACATGGCAGATGTACCCAGCTTGTTAGCCAACAGACTTGGGGGAAAGGCTGGCTTATAAAGCG